TGGCAATCCTATTCTTCAAAGGCGTACTGAACAACAAGGTCCTTTTCGATGAGGGCGTATTGCTGTACATGATTGCTCTTGAGCTTACTGGAGCCATTCCATGTCCATGCTTTCGAGGAGTTGCCTCTGTGCCCGTTGTTTTCCCAAACACCCCAGGAGCAGTCGAAGGAGAATCTGCGGCACTGTCTGGATCCAAGTCAAACAACCCGAGAACCTGTCCATCCTTTTGTGGCGTTGGCCCAATGGCGGTTTTCTTCGAAGGTGTAGCAAATAGATTTCTCATAACGGAAGGCGAATGATAAGGGTCGATATCCCATGGTAGTATTGTATTCTTCGAGGGTGTTCTGTCGACATGTGCACGCTTCTGGGGTGTTTCATCTTGATCTTCTTCATGTCTTCTCTTTCGGGGTGTTGGTTTAGGAGCTGGTGGAGGTATATGCGAAATCTTCCCTGAGAGTATGTCGCGTACTCTATTGAACTCTTTATATTTCGAGGCTGCAGACATGTAAGTATAGCTGACTGGCGAAATGCGCAAATGTAGGATCCATACCAATATCCGGGTTCGCTTTGATATCCTCCCTCAAGGCTTTGCGACCTTCGTTATTGTTCTGAAAATCCTTTTCCCAGACTTTCAATTCAACTCGCAGAGCCTTTGAGCGCTCCTCGAAGGACTTTCTCTCCCCCTCGTCCATGCTGCAAATCGGCGCAGTCAAATCTCCCGGTTGACTCGTTAAATATTATCTAGAAAACGCGGTAAAGAAATCGTGCTATCGCATATGAATATACTTTCTAATAAGATGTTTGTCTTATAATAATGACTGTTTATCAATAAAGAGAGTATAAAAAGTGGTCGTCAAAGTCGTAAGCTCATAAAATTCATAACATTAATTTTATATCATGTATCAATGACATCGTTGATATTTTATGTCGTGGGCAGACGCGCCGGACCCGCGATTTTGCAGGGATTCAGCACCCGGGCTGTTTTCTGCCCCGTCTTGCTAGGGCGGTCAATATATCTCGTTTATCAGATCAGCCCTGATAGGAGGTAATACTTACTAATCTAGGTCCCGACTTCACCAGTGTATGAATGGCAATGTTGGACTAGATCTTCTAACTCATGTTATCTTGAATTTCGTGCAGTATTGCAGTCGTTACGGCTCATAGGTTTTCAATCGCTAACAGTAAGGTCAATGTAAGTTACCGGTACTTTGGAATCACTTTGCGCGAAAATCACGTGAGACGAACCAACCATTTGATGGTTGATGTCGAAAATCATCAATAAATCGGCCATCTACAAGCGTGCCAAGTTCTCGTAGAATTCTGACCAAACTTGAGAACAATATTTCTTATCTTACCCATTTGTATATCAAAGCGTTTGAGATTGAGAAGAGAAAAGCAACAGATATAAAATCAACGAGACAATCTTTCTTGATGTAATTTCACCATATTTTATTCACAGAAGAATCATATAGTATACATATGGACACTGATGATTGATATCATCGATAGTTCAATGATAGAAACACATTTTGTTGCGAGTTAGTGGTATTCAGAGCACATTACCGACGAGGATCACTCAGCACGGTAACATCAAGATGCGGAGACTTCTCATTCGCTACCTACTATTTAACATTCAAATGGGTGTTTATTTCCTGGTATTATAGGGAACTCTTAGGTCGTTGAAGAACTGACTGTGACCGTTCTCCTGTTCACAGGGTCTGGAAATGATAATTATATTATGAAATTAGCTGGGTGAATAACTATTCCATCTCATTCCTGAATTAGGGATGGAAACATATAAACATGTCAAGTTTGTAGCTGATGATAGTGTTTCCCTATTGACTTCACTATTTTTAGAGCTTTCTATACTCTCTCCATATCAATAATATAACTTTCAGAAGGACCCTCCAAATAATCACTCTTTAGGGTCGGAAATCTTGAACCAAATCAAACCAAAACTACGTGATTAGAACCTTAAAATCTAGAGTCAGCATTCCCTTGACTTTTTCTGAGACATACCCATTTATTTACATTTAGATCGTAGACTGGATCCGATGTACGACCTGACTAGGATTCGCCATAAAATCCCATTTTTTACTTCTTCTTTCCAAATTTTAGCCTTCGTTAAGCTCTACCAGTACTTGCCATCTTAAAGAATCGAAAGTCCACTCGAGTCCACTTACTCTTCTACTCTTCCACTCCTATCATTCTAGTATATTTCTAGCTTTGAAATAGAAAAGATGATTTTAGAGTTGTAGATCTAAAGGCACTAGACGCTTACTCGGCAATAGAATTGCTTGTTTTGCCTATTTTGGAAATTTAATCCTTGTATTTTCCTGCCAACGAGGGTATTTGTTGGAATTTAAAGAGCAGTTTTTTTTTACAAGTACAGCCTTATTTTCTTATATAGTAATAAGGAAAGCGGACGGATTTTAAGTTTCAATTTGCCACCGGCTTTTCACATCCCACATGGTTGAACGTTAATCATTGCGGACACTAGTACTGAATAACATTATTTCGAACATGATAGCAACTGATGTCAGGGCGCATAATGCTTGAGCCTAGAATAAGACCTAGATGAAAATGCGGCTTTCTTTCGCGTGGTTGGATGCTTCAAGCGTTTTCATCCGCAACCTTGTTCAAAACAAAGATCTTGCTACAATAGAATGCTTCTCATTACAATTACCCCTACGACCAGGCCAAGCAAGCGAAACCAAGAACCTCCCGATAATCCACTTAGCATACTTTCTTATCATTGGTTGGTGAATATTTATCAGTACGTGCGTCTTATGCCGATGTGGTCTCGTTGTCGCGATTTCTACCCCGCTCGTCAAGTCTAATTTTCAAGGTCTCCAATGGTCCCCTCCAATTCACAAATTCTGTTCACCTACCCTCATCCATTATCCATCTCCACGGTCTGTGTCTTTGTGTGACAGAAGTACAAACAGCGTACCGCAGTTACCATGTCTCAAAGTACTAGGCACTATCACGCAGCTCTACATTTATGAGTAGATTAGATCTTCATATATAATTGCAAACCAGTTCCATCATCTTTGTGTGTTTGGTTGATTGAGTTCATGTCGTTTGGTATCGTGAGTCTACTCTCTTCCAGTTACCATTCATCTCGTATCAATCGACTTACATTTTTCTTCTAGCAAAACATTTTGGGTCGCTGGGCTGCGTAGAACCTTCATCAACGTCCAATCCTAACTATTCGAGGCTTCGCTTTCAAGGTTAGGTACTAAGTCCTCAGAATCAACAATTGAATAGAAGCGTAAGCGCAATCAAGTTGCCTGTTGTTCTGTTCATTTGTCTTCCGGTTCATCTACCATACTCTACCTTCCCATTGATTCACCTATCCATCCTGGCGCATTCTTTCAATTACCCTTTCACCTCTACCAACAATCCAAGAATACACCTACTCTCAAACATCACTATAAGCTGGCAACCTTCAAATTAATATAAGCAGAGATGTCACTTATGCTCAAATTCCGTCCATAAACTAGACACTCCTGTAGATTTAACAGCAGACACAAAAGATCTTGCTCGTCAAAATCAACTACTGCATAGTTTACTTCTTTCAAACCCCTGTTCATAACCTCTCCACCAACATACATAATCTATGGACTCTTACGCATACACCTGCAATATTCCCATTCTCATTACGTCCTCACCACGATCCGCGACCAGAGTACGTCCACGTTAACTTTATCAACATTATTACTACCCGAAGCACACTTCAAATCAATTCTCCAAAGTCTGGGGACCCTACGAAGTTATTCTACACAGTAGACATATACTTCGATCCTGATGATTCAGTTTGTCAGGAAACAACTCTCTACAACTATCTTTCAAAAACATGTATTACCTCCAGTCAGACTGCGGGTACACATCTTTCATTCCCATCCTCACCTTTCACCCAATCTATCAAACACTATCCACATCCATAAATCATCACATCTGTTCTTCCATCCTACTCTCCACTCGAATCCTCGAAAATATCATGGACTAGATCTACATCCAAACCACATCTTCCTTCAATTCAACCCACCTGCCACAGCATCATGACTCGGAACTTCACCACCACTATCCCCCTCTAACATATCCACACAACCGTTGCGTACTGCACATATAACATTAGGAATATAGTAAACGGGAAAAAACAATAAAACACCTCTTCTCCCTCCAGGAGGTCCTCCGAGATCGCATATATCACTAAATTACCGTATTCTCATTCTCCAACGGCCATATCGGTACCATAAGTCTATTTAATTTGATTTTCTACCAAAACCTCCCAAAAATCCCGCCATCTAGTTCCCGTCTACTATCTCAACATCAAAGTCATGTAGATGAGATCCCAGTTCTAGTTTTCATGACCATCTACTCCATGATATCGAGTAACCGGCACTATCTATCATCTGTATCCCCTCTATACACCCTCTCATCCATTTCCATAAAAAATCATAATCCAAATCCATAATCCAAAACCCATCCCTCAACCTCCAACAACACGTCGCCAACCAGTTTTCCAATTTCCCACCAATCTACCAGAAGCACCACTTTATCCCTTCTCTATTCCTCCCGCCTTCATTATCCATCATATTCATACAACCCTCTCCTCACCAAAACAAATTCCTTTCAAATCTCCACACCTCAATATCTCAATAACAACACCCCGCTTCACCTCTAATCCCGTAATCAGCCAACCAACATCCTGCAATGCAACGAAGAATTCATGTAGAAGTGCTAGGCTAGGTGCCAGATGTAGACAATCGATTTTATTTCTCATTTTATACAGAATTGACAGGTAAAGATTGATCGACTACCTTAGACTACTACTCTTCGATGGATTTGAAATATTTCTCATGACTATCTGTACCTAGGTACTTATAGCTCGCATACCTTTCATACCTGTCCACACTACTTTAAAGGCCTTAATTATTTTTTGAATTCCCATGCTCCCTCCGTTTCCCATCCTCTACGTAGCTCTTTTGCCCCTTATGAATGTCTATGCTTCTTCACTCGCCTCTATTTTCATCTTCTTCTTGTTCAGTTCGAGCCCTCCTCCTCCACCATCTTCTTATCCTCCATACCACACCCTTCCATCCACCTCCCCAACGCACTCTTCCGCCCTCACAGCTCTATCTCCGTCTCCACCTTCTGTTCCAACCCGACCTCGAACCTTGAAGCCAATATCGGTATTATAACAAGTCTACGAAAGTAAATTATGTACCCCTTCTCTCTCACTCCCCTTCTCTTTCATCCCCCTTCCCCTTCTCATTCCTTCCCTCTTATCTTTCCATCTCGAATCCTTCCATCTACCTCCCCATTATGTCCACACACAAACACACCTCGCGTTCCTCCCCCTTCTCCTCTCCATTCTCCCCCGTCTGCCCCTGCCCCCTTTGCTACATCTCTACCCCTCATACCCTTCCCTTTATACCCTTCCCTTTATACCCTTCCCTTTATACTCTTCCCTTTATACTCTTCCCTTTATACCCTTCCCTTCATACCCTTCCCTTTATACTCTTCCCTTTATACCCTTCCCTTTATACCCTTCCCTTTATACCCTTCCCTTCATTACCCCCCCCCTCCAATCCCCCCTTATTCTCCCTAATTTCCTCACCCCTCCTTCATCCCCCCACCAAGCTCCAAATCCAATCAGTAAATCTCCTACACAACCCACAGTCACCCCAGCACAACATTCACAAGCAGGACACATGCAGAACGCATGCCAAAGTCGCTGTTCCACTCTCCTCCCCTGTCATTCGACCCCTTCAAGTACCTCTCAGGCCATACCTATTTAGTTGTTTAGTTATTCATCCTGCATTCTAGCTAGGAACTTTCCTAGATAAGTTCGGTAATAAGCGCGTGCATTCGGATAATGAAGAAAATGAAGGGGGAGAAGTATCAAGCAAGGGAGACATTGAGGAGATGCAGAGTATAGAGGAATTAGAGAATACCATTCCGAATTCTCCTGGCAAGTAGTCTAGTAGAAGCATATCCGCCCACCAACATACGGATCATCCTCATATACTTCAGATCGCATTACACACTGCCCAAAATATCACATCACATCAATATAAGCCAGATACCACTCATCACAGTTGGAGATTCTCTTTTAGAATTCATAAGTACTTCCATTCATGCATCCAGTTCCTCATATCATGCCTCCCTCCACCCAAGATATTCTCATACACTTCATACATACAATCATAATCCGCATCCCCAACCATCCAGGCCAATTCGATAGAGCCCAGCCAGCCAGCCATCCTACCCCCATCCCATCCATCATTAAGTGCCCCAACCGTTCCAAACATAAAAATTCCGCATTGATTCCCCATCTCAGCTCTCCAAAGCTAGAGATGGCATCTTGTAAATCGATTCAAAAATCAAATCCAAATCAGGGCCAGTCTAAACTCCAATCCAAATGCCATTACCCATGTATACAAAGTCGTGTTGAGTAATTTTTTTTATCCGTATCAAAATCAAATGGGTAAAAAACAAAAAAATACTTCCGGATATATCGAAGCAAAGCCCCCTCCAAAATGTCTCGTCATATCAATCCAAGCAACGATATTCTCGTCGTGGCTTTCATTATGCACGCTGAAATGAACTTCTTCGTCAAACAAATCTTAAAAAATCATCAATCAATCAACTTCTTTGGTATCGATATATATGTCGTTTCTCTCTCCGTTGATAATTCTGAAACCTATCAACCGAATGTCTCTGACAAGACTCTTATACTCAATATCATGACCAGTAAACCGATGGTTACCACAATAAGTAGAGCGAAAGAAAACCATCCGAGGACCATCGCAGTACTGCCAACACCACTTTTGACGCTGCCGTTCCCTAGATCTTGAGCTATGATAGAGGCGGCTACCGAAGCTGTATGTTGCCATAGGACTGAGACGAGAACGAAGATTGAAGCAATAAAGATGATGGCTAGAGCGATTTGCGAGACAAATCGCGATGGGAAAGGTTTGACTTCTCGTTCACTTCCGTGAGCATCTTCTTCTTCGTGCCATCCAGGGAATGTGGCTAGAAGTAAGAGACAGATGAATGCGAAAATGATTGCGATGATACTGTGAAGAAATTAGTTTTTGTCCTCGAAGAAGTGGAGAAAGTGGAGAGAGCGAAGGACAGCTTACATCAAGTATGGGAAAACAATCATGTCTTTGAATTGACTTGCAAGCCAAATCAAATTCAAAGGATCTTGATCCACGCTCACTTCATTCGCCAATGCGGTTGCATTGTTACTACATAACCATGCACCTCCATCTGGGTTGATACAGATACCAAAGTATCCAACTCTTGCGGCTAATCTTGCTTGTCCAACAATATTAGATATCGCTGTGTGTACATTGTAATCGGTTTGTGCGGTCGATGGCACTGGTGTATATGATTGGTAGTAGAGGGAAATAAGGAAAATATCGGGTATCATAGGTGACGAAGATGAACATCCTGCTAATAAGAGAGCTAGAAGAGTGTTAGTTGGATGTTCCTCGTTGGAATGCTAGATCCTGAATTCTCACAGAGTAATATAATGGTAACTGCGATCAATATCATCAACACATGATGATATCCTAAAAATGGCACAGCTCCTGCGAATTATGTTAGTACTTGATCAATTGATTTGCGCATATTCACCACAACTTACTCAAGAAGCCTCCAAACCCTCTTTCCGCCATCGTAAACTATGTGATGTCTCGAAACGAATGACCTAATGCGATGATAGAGTCTGCCACTCCCGTCCCCCGTGTCTTCGGAGCGACCGTCGGAGTCGCAGCTGTGGAATGTTTGCAACGTGTATAAGAAGTTCCAAGAGTGAAGAATGCTGGTTATCTTTTGGAATGTATCATCAAGCAATCGTGAATAGGTTTAATTCGTGAGGTTCGTGAAAGTGTTGGTAGAAGAATGTGGATATAGATTGGTCGCACTGCTGATCATTAAGATAAAGATTTGTTAGATATCTCAACGCCAAAAGGTGAGGGGAGAAAAGAGCGTAGCAGTCAGATTCTTTGAATTCTCCAGAAAATGGAGAAAGAGAGAGAGAGGGAAGCAGAGTGAGGTCCAGATTTCCCGCACAATGTAATTTTGGTTGTCAAAAAATTGAGTGGCAGGAGAGCTAAAGTTTCTATCAAAAAGAAGATGGCGCAGTGAATCCATTTTTGGGTGCTTGGGATTTGTTTACTCTTATCAGTTCTCGGTTAGTCCACAGAGCAACGAGGTACGAAGGTAACAAGGTACTCTTGGCTAATCAACCAATCACAACTCATGACTCTGCTTAATCATCCACGACCCTTGAATCGAGGGACCATATTAATTCAGGAACAGATCAATTGGTGGATTGTTGAGTGGAGTGATGGTTGGAGTGAAGTCTCGATATAGATTTGAATGATAGAAATAAAAAGCTTGTTTTTCATTTCAGACCGCGTTATTCGAGAGAAGTTGGAAGTTTGGCTTCGTATTGCTACAAGATTTGACAACGGACTGACACGTTTCTTTCGTCATTCATTAAAGCTGCACCTAACCATGCAGGTCAAGATGTAGCAACGTCGAGTTCCCACTTGATTGAATTTTCTGTATGTACTCTGTACAAAATTATTGTTCCTGAATCCTCATTCTCGCATTCCCGACGGTAAGATGGAGATCCTTAGAGGAGAACCATATATTGATCGTTCGTCCTACCCCGCAGTGTACAACATGATCGAACCCTTTCACTTATTTCTTGCCTCTTATTAGAGGGGAATACCAGGAAGTATAGAGAAGCCATTGTTGACTTAGTAATCGTACCTGAGAAGCTCCCCATGCTAGACTAGACCATATGCATGTTGTGTTGTGTAAGATCCTTCGGTAATTGCATCCATAAATACGCCGAGTGGCCAGGCGATTTGTGTGTTTCAGCTTTTTCTCTTTCTTGTCTTATATGTTGATTCTTGAAGCGTGTTATCAAACATCCTTGCTGACGTTAAAAAGGAAGTTTTCGTTGCCTCGCCAGCCATAGTAAGATCTGATATAGGGCTGACTTGACTATTTCCAAAGGTAAGGGATGAACTAACGGGATGACCTTTTGACGCTTGCAGCGGGCGAATCTTTGGTGGGAATTGTACAACTTTTGTTGGAAGCCGTTGGGAAAATTACAACAAGCCTGCTTCACTTACATATATTTCTCCACAGCTGCATGCAAGTCACTATCGTTTCTATTATGCACTTTAAAACTGGTGCAGTCATCGAATTCTGTGAAATACATGACAGTTAACGGCAAAATGCGAGTAGTAATATATGGTTTTGTGGTCTTGTTGCCAACCCTTCATGGCCGGCCATAGGTGGTCGAATACTGGTGAATCACGAAACCAATTTCATGTGATGCACTCACTGCAAGCCTCTTCTTTTCGTTCTCGTGCTCCACATATAGGAATCTTGTAGAACTCTTCTGTTGTCTCAATTGTTGGATTTACGTTGTCATCTAATACGGTTCCCATGCCAAGCACTATCATCTCAAGCTGAGCAAAAGCGACAGCAGCACTTCCTGCACTTTCTTTCAAAAGGGATACAAATTATTGTCCCTCTCTGGCTTCGTGATGTAAAAGTATGCTTGTTATCCAAGCTCATTTCTGAGCACTGGTGGTTTCCAGTACATCACAAGGGAGCCCAATTTCAATGAAGGAAATTTGCATTCCGAGCACTCACTTCCCTCATCAGCACGTCGGTATCTTGACGAAAGTGTCCAAGGCACCCTTTGCTTGCCATTGCCTGCGGTTCTTTTCCTGTCCACTCAGTCACATTTTACTCTCTCTTTCCTGAAATATATAGAAGTTCTCTGACAAATAACCCAGAGATTATTCCACGCCGCTCTTTTTCTGCCACAAACTAAGTTGGTTTGCTCAGTATATAAAGTGCAGCTGTATAGTATTGCATACAGGAAGTATGAGTCTATTGCTTACTTTCGAATTAGGCTGGAAGACTTATGTGGAGACGTCATACACTGCCTCCATTGCACGGAGTTCTTTTTATGGGGGGAGTATGAGCATATTTTTCTTATCTATTTCTCCTGAGACTAGGCTCAGCGTGGCTGGAAGTTCTATCATTTTGCTTTCATCTCATGTTTTTAAATCGCTGTCGATATGGCACACATCAGTAAAGTGATTAATGACAATCATCTTATTCAGGGCCTTGGAAGTTTTGGTCTTGAGGCATATGCAAGTATGTATTGTACTGGGATACTAACCGTTCACACCGGTAGCAACTTTTCACATGCATCTTTCATGGTATCCATGATATCAGAGTATGAAGAGAAGAGAGGATCTCTATTTTGGCTCCCGTTTTTATTCGATTCTTCAATCTAGCACACTACCTTCCCGTTGATTCCGCACCTGTGCATTATGATTCACTCTCAAGAACATCTATAAGATATCCCGAAAGATGAAATACCAACCACACGCCATAATACTCCTCTTTACCCCTCCCAAGTCGCATTCATCCGATGTTGGTTTGAGTCAGCACTTATGTGCTCTATTGGATCATATTAAAGCGCGTTTCACTATTCCAGGGAATATGGACGACAAGTTTAATTCAAAAGATATTTAGACCAGAGCCTTTGCTTCTGAGAACGGGAGATTATACAAATGTGCAAACAAAATAGAGTTGGTAGGGGGAATTTTTTCTTCCTCTCTCCTTCCCTCGTTCACAGCACATACGCAAGCATCAAATACTTCGTATATTTTCTGTTACCACGATAGTATTATTATTTACGGTTACCGTCACTCGAAGTCCATTATTTTGTACGTTGAACGGCAGTGACAGACCCAAAAAAAGACAATACTTCCATTTCCTTCGCACAAATACCCACCAATAGATCCGCAGAAATCTCGCCATAAAGCCGAGGAGATGTCTGAAGCCTACTTTGATCGATTGTCTGCTCTCGAGGTAATTCTTAAGACGTTCTTTGGGAACTTCGTAGATACGACACGGTAGAAGTTTTGAAAATGCACACCGGCAGGTCTTCTATATTCCCATCGTACTGCTCTCATGCCTTTTTCTGCCAACTTCAGCAATCACATGCCAACAAAATTCACAGTCTCAACACTCCATCCATTGATACCTCCCCAGTCTTTCTGCTGCATCCGTCATATATAAAGTTCTCCAGCTCACCAATAATACTCGTGTAAATTCTGCAAATTCCGTTCTCAAGAAGCCACATGCGTTCTGACAGTCTTGCAACACGTCTCCTGCGAATATCAATCTCGTGGATCTACTCAGATGTCTTTGTTCATAATACATCAATTAGAATGTTGCTGTCATTATTGGCATTCTAGTATCAGCTGCTTAAGTGTCCAGAAGTGACGGTGATGGAACAGTAAAATGACAATAAATATTGAGATCGGGCTCTCTCAGCACCCGAGTCTCGAGTCGAATTCACAGCTTCAAAGGTATATACATCTTATACAAAGTCTTTCGATCTCTAGCCGCTATGTTCACTTCCTCCTTTCCTTGTTCGTTTCTCAATCAGATAGTATTGGCATGGGAAGAAAGAAAGGTCTCTATCAAGAACCCTTTTATATCTACTCCCAATTCTCTCATTCGCTTACAATCGCTACTTTATTAACACATGCACATTCTCTCTACTTCACAAATTCGGCCACATCAACATAAGTTGAAGGTGCCTCGCCATTCACTGACTTACGATGCCACAACTATAATTTATGTGTCATTTTGAGACTTTTGACTTGGTCCATGAAGGATTTTTGGGAAGTTTTACTGTCATCTTCGATACATATTCATCGCTTTGTACTTGTGACGGCGATGATTGGAAACAGTAGAGAACTTGTGCTTTCATAGGGTTCGACTTACTCCTCTAATCAGCCTCACGAACTTTACAAATGAATAGGATGGTCCCACGATAGTATCCCTTCCAGCAATTGCAATCGACATATCCCTTGCTGAATTTTTCTTGACGTCGTCTAGTAGGACACTTGCAAGGAGCCTGGCAATCAAACCATCATTTCTTAGCATTCTTTTATACCCATCCCCTCCTCTCCCTGGTTCTCACTTCATTTCATCTGCCTGGACCTGTTCCTATCGGCAAAAGACTCTAAAGCATAATAATATTTTACTATACATATATAAGTGATTACTCGAAACCTTGTATTCGACTTCCGTGGAATTTTGTACTTGGAAGAACAAGATCATACACGTGACAGTGGCTGGAACTCAGAACTCTCACCAGAAATGTACCTTCATCCTGGTCGATGATGTATGGACTTCGGGACTTGACGTTATCATCCCATATTCTTACTGTCAACTTTACTCCGTGTTTATAGTGTGATAGAATGGCAGTAAAATAATAACTACTGAAATCGAAACTCTCATCCCTAACGGTGACAGTAATCACTGCTGTCACCGCAGTTTAAGATTACCTATCACTTCTAGCTAGCTCACCAGAATCGCAATCCACAATACCTAATCTTCAAATAAGTCGGGAGATATCCCCCTGGGTTTTCCAGACACTATAATCTTCTCAAAGCCGTATGTTTAAAAGCATATACACCATCCAGTAGGAAATATCAGTCACTTATATACTTGCTTATCCTTTCACTTTTCATACAAAGTATCTTAAAAAGAAGCAGCAGCAGCATTGTTGCGATATGAGTGAATCTAAAATCGCGGCTCTGCTGGGAGCAAGGTTCGTATGGCATGTAGCTCCCGTAATTCTGACCTTGAAATAGGTGGCCATACAGACCATTCACAGCCACTTGAATCCCATTATGAAGACGACATTGCCATCACTAGGGTGACAAGAACAAGTATTCACCCCTTTCCCCTCATTCTCTTCGTCTCACTCAAACTTCCAGACCCATTTGCATCTATAAAGACTGTCAGTTCATCGAACTCCGATCTATTGAATATAGAAGATATGAGGATAATATCAAGGTGTTATGACCTGGTGTAGCTTATGAGACCATGAAAACAAGTTGAATATCCAGGTATATTTCTCAGCTTTTATGCCGATTATTATTACCATGAGAGATTATTATCCATATGAAGACTTTCATAGATTGGCAATAGCTAACCATGGAAGACAACACTTACCTATCATCAGATAACAACAACAAAAGGGTTTACTCACATCCAGTGTAGGCAATAGTATTTCCCGTATTTCGTATACGGGTTAGTTTAGTAGTGTATATCGAATTTTTTCGAAATATATATATATATAATATAGAATTCAATACCACTAAAAGTATTCAATATTATTTAGTTATTTAATATTATCAACAATATATTGAAATACTGAAATCCAATATAATATTTTCATTTCTATATAAATTAAACTGGAAATAAAGGATTTCATTTCAATTTGAAATAAGGAATGCAATTTCATTATTTAATTTGGATAGGAATAAAGATATTCTAATGAATTCTAGTATTTTAGTATATTGCTAGTATTCTTTAAATATATGAATATGTATGAGAGCGGTATAATCTTCTTTCTATATATATTAGCTGCAATATCAATATGCTAATATGCGCCATAGTTTTACTGTAGTATACTATTGCCTACACTGCTCACATCTTATGCTTGCATATACCAAAACCCTTTCTCAAACCTCAGATCAACATCAACCATGCTTTATCTTTTTCTTCATTCAGCCTCAAGGATATCATAAAATGGCTTCAAGGTACCAATCAGAAGTCATGACGTGGTGTAAAGTTTTAATATGAAGCAAAAATCGCCTGCTGCGCTCGGAGTTCTCTTACAACTGTCCGCCCCTCCCATTTACATTGCCTCCATCCATAGATGACAACGTGATTCCTGATCCACTCCCATATATTCCCCACCTAATCCCCAGACCAACCATTCCTCTCCACCAACTTCTATCTCCATCTACACCTTCACATCCAACTATAAAGTCGGACAATACATCAAAACTGCGCAAATCACAGAAAAACGACTGATACCACTTTTAGATTGACAAGGTTGCAATCTTCCAGTGACTTCCATACCATCAAGCACAGCCCAGAAATTTCTGAAAACTGAGATGCTGAAACCTCTCCTTTACTTAAATTCTGGTGTGGGAGGCCTCAACTTTTATCGTTGTCAATTAAATGGTATACACCCCGCTGAGTATAAAACGACGAAAGAAACGAGAAAGACAATACTCGTACCCTCGTTCATGGTCTGATATCAATAAAGACAACAACAACTACCATCCCACATACTCGACACTTCAAATTTTCGCCTATTCCTTCACCAAATTCTCAATTCTCCGAGGAAAGAGTTGCTTCTGACCTACATACTTACAGAACTACCCCAAGATCAACATGACTAACAATTCGATTCTTTCCATCACAACGTACGTTTCCCCTTATGCTACGATGAAAATTAAGAAGTGCGCCCTCTCCCTACTCACGTTATATATTCGTATCCACAATTTCCTAGGAAATTTACTTCTTTGTAAACCATTTGTTCACCACTCCTATTCGGCCATCACTCCTCTCCCTTGCCCATTGAAAATTTCAACATCATATCTCAATAAGATCTCTTGTATCCGTCTAGTTTCACCATACCTGTATGAACAAGAATTAATATTGCAATTTTTCATCTGACTCTCCTGTTTCACTTCACGATCTAAGGAGATGCTGGGCTTTTGGCAAGGCATATTGTTCCCCAATCATCATACAAGCAGAAAACAAACAACATAACGATGGAAAGAGAAATTCATTTCTAGGTTCAGTCGTGTTTCGTTCTAGCTTCATACAGAGGTATTATCTCTCCTTCCCTCCCATTAACCACCTCTTAATCGTCTCCAAACACAACACCAAGTAGAAAGAGCAAGTAATAGCACAAATTCATCTCCAAAACCCCTCCATCTACCGAATGCCAATAGGCTTTCATCGTTAAGCTATTTAGCCGCTGGGATGGCTCTGAAGACAGGATTTTTTCCCTCCTCAGGAGGAGAATCGTGAGTATGTTCGCCACCAATACATGGTAACCTATACTTTTCTTCCCACAGTTTTCTCAACACTTCATACAAGAAAATATATTGCTCCACTGCTTGTACCATAGTCTTTCTTTGTTGACGCAATTGATCGACCGTCTCAAAGATGGCATCGTTACCTTTCTCTTCTGACTGATCCCACCCTTCCCAAGCTCCACCTTGAAGTTCTCCCAACAAAAACTCCAAAGCAACGAAAGTACCGGTTCTTCCAACACCAGCGCTGCAATGTACAACTCTTGGATTCTCTTCCTCTACATTTTTCGCTCGAGAGAGATCCATCAATGTCAAGACACTCTTGACGTTTTGACTGTTCAACGAGCCCATATCAGGCCAGAGAGGGTAGAAGAAATGCCAAATAATCTTCTCTTCGTCTTCATTCTCCACAGACATGGCGAGTTTACGAACCTCGATACCAGTACCCTCAATGTTATCTTCTCTCTGCACGAATCGAACCTGGGCCTTAAAGTCTTCTCCTAGAGCTCCTGTTTCGTTAACAACAAGAGGTGGATCCTCTTCACTCATAGGATAGTATTGATAACATTTCTCCATCATCTCGTCAGGCTTAGCAGGATTAGGTCCAACAAGAGGACTAAGCATGATGATGACACCAGGTGCTGCATTATCTGGTACTGAGATTGAATGCCACATCATATGCCACGTATGATCGACAGTTTGAGACTTCGGACCTTGCATACAGATGTACTTATCTTGAAGACCTTTCTTCATCGTACTTTGCTTCTCTGCAGTAGATGTCAAAGTAACAGGGGATGCGTTGATGTAATCGTTATAACCTTCGGGGACGATGAGTCTGATACGGTTGGCAGCCCATGGATGTACGTTGGCATAACGATCGAGTTCACGGTCCGGTTCTTCTCTCGCCCACTTGGGATCATCTTTGTTAGCCAAACGATCTTCTTCTGCTTTCGTCAATAGGGCATATTTTTCCTTCATTTCTAGTGTTGGGTTAGTATCTGTTTCCTGAAGTAATGTTGAGTAAGTTGCATACCGTCATGTGAAATTTTCAAGAATGATGGCATTGCTGTCTTTGGATTGCTTGCTGCAGCAAATCCTGCTTCGACAACTTGTACGGCACGTTCTTCTGCATCATCTGCTCCCTTGCTAGAAGAGCATCCATCTCCTTGAGGCATAAAAGTACCATCATGGTAGTCAAGGAGACTCTCCTTAGACATAGTGATAGCAGAGTCTCGTTTCGATGAACAGGGGTGAGTCATCCTGAAGAGAAACTTGCGGCTTACGGTATCGTTTGGATCCTTTTGACGCGATGAAGAAATGATTGTTGAGGTACTCGATGATTTAGAACGGAAGGAGCGTATACGATTTTGAATAGAAATAGTGACACCAATGGGCGTCCGATGAGGCATATAAACAAACAATGAAAGATGTTTTCCCAGTGAATATAGCTTGAGTGAGTTATAAGAAGCGTTCAGGATGGAAAAAGATAGGTTATTATGCCTCTGGGCAAAGAGATTGAAGTAGAGCGCTGAACTGAAAAGATTCTTCTCACGAACAGGGTAGGTTTGAACAGTAATGCAGAGAACAGTGATGTAAAAATATGATAGTTCAGCACAGAGAATAATGCCAGCTGTAGGAAAGACAAATACCAAAAATTTTGATAGTTGATGTGAATGTGTGTGTGCAAAGAAAGGGTGAGAGTTGAAGAAGAAGATAAAGAAGAGAAACAGGAACTTACAAGACATTTGTTTTCACCGATATGCAGCAACTCACCATATGAAGCAGGAAGGTGGCCGATCTACATAGTATAATGGTGTATGAGGGAAGAGCAATTGTGGTAGGAATTCTGAGCTGGAGACGAGGCGGGCGTGGCAAGCACGTGCAGGTAGGTCATGTTTCAATTGGCATTTCAGTGACTAATTAATGACTAATCGGCGGCTGTGTTATTAGCCGAGCTTATCCAGTGAAAGATTTTCGCCTTCAACTCTCGTCGTGGATATATACTTAACATTTCTACCTGGAGTAGAATTGATCATGATAATACGAGCCTAACAAATATGCCATTATGGTTAGCAGCCTTTGAGGTAAAATTGCTCTTCAAATCATAGTACTTTTATTATTCTTGCTAACAATTGATTCAGGCTTGGGCAGTCGCACGAGTTCGTATTCTACATGCATCGATCTCGAGTTCCTATTGTTAACATGTACTCAGCTCCTAAGAAGTCCTACTTTTCATAGTGCAGTCCGCAACGTCCACAAAAGAGTCCATGAAGCTCGTCATGGCAAAGACCCTTCCGAGATAGGTGGCAGCAACATCGACGATCCTGAAAAGAATAGTCGATTCGTTAAATACTTCAAGGACGAAATCAAAGAGCAGTTCTGGGGCAAAACGCCACCCAGAAAATAATTGATATATTATTGCGGTAGGGCAGGATGATGCTCGCACTGTTTTCACAATCATAAATGGAGTTGGGTCAATGACTTTGAACGAACGACGAACTTGCATTTCATGGCGTTTGGGAAATAATCTATACTTTCCGCATTAAAGTACACAATTATACAATATAATCACTTCTCCTTTCTTTTCTATCTCCTTATCCTCCGCGACAAACGACACACATTCAGGCGAATACTTGGCCTTTCAATATACACCGGACATTAAATTGGGCTCTGAGACTGATCCTTCGTGTCACTTGGCTCTCATTCCGTCCGAAGAGCAAATTGGCCTACACTTTTCTATTCGCTCCTATGCTTTCAATGCACTGGATTGGTATTGTGTGCTCACACATTTTGCGTCTTTTGATGTCTTCTTACTTTGACTTGAGGTCGCTTTCGAGCTCTTGACCTATTGCCAAGTACTCATATGCAAAATTGTGGCCTGTCCATGAGTAGTGCTCATTTTCACAGCATCGCCCTGCATAATCCTCAGTCTTCAACAGGAAAGGTACTCATCGAATGAGTCTCATTTGGTCAGATGTGTCAGGGATTAGATTGAGGTGCGACAGCCCGCCATTCGAGAAGCAATAGCCAAGCTTCATCTGATGCTCAAGAACGACCTAGCTTCCATTGGAAATGTTACCTGCGCATAGCTTAATGGCATTAACTTTTCCTCGGCTTGTTGGCAAAAAAACGGTAGGTTATTTCTTATAGTATTCAGATTTAGAGGGATACAGGGGGAAGAAATACTTGCCATACGCAGGCTCACACCAATATTTTATGGTGTGTGATCTATTTAAGTGCAAGAAGATTGAACAAAGACCGATTACTCACCGTGGCTTTCTGTCGCCGCACCATCATGTGGGACGTGGAAGCGATGGTCCATATATTATGGTCTACATTCTCTTGAGAGATAGAGCTGTATGTCTAAACATCTATAAGTAACTGGTGGATGTGGGGATTCTATGGTAGAGAGTGTGCACGATGGACTATCAATTGATTCATGCGGGTCAGAGCGGCCGGTGTTGTATCAGACGCTGGTAACTTTTCGCAACTCAACTAGATTATATAGATGATGAGTTCAATCATATCACATCTACACACCATTATCTAAGAACGATAACTTTAATCAGAATCAATCTGAATAACTGATCACCTATGTGCTTTGTGTAGCAACCGCGTGTTCTCCTCTGGTCTCGAACGCAATGCCAGCTTCAAGCCCACATTCATAGAAGCAAAATGTTGATCAAGCTCACTGAAATATGTGTTGGCCCAACCTTTTTCTTATAGAATGTCACTTCATCATTCACTGTTTGAAATCTGATTGGCTCTTGAACAATGTCGACGAGTGAATATGCAGTAAGCTGAGCTGAATCAATGACCAATAGCGCTTGCAAATGCTACAAGGTTAATCGATAAAGTGCGGCAAGTATATTGTACGTACCTGGGTAATGTCTTTATTGTTAAATCAGAAATCCAAGAATAAAATTTCCCACCTAATCTATCACTATACTATGCTCCACTGCGACCAGTCAATTCAAAAGAAACTTGATATGTTGCAAACCATGTCACTTACGATTTTTCTCTCTGTCGTTCTTGCTCTCACTATCTTACTTGTATTGACCCTTCCTCGCCAACTGCGGTTCCCTGATATCCCAAAATTTGGAAGAAAATCAGGCTTCTGGGACTTCACCCACGCTACTGCGAAAAGAGAATTTGTACTTAACGGACACCATCTTGTGGATGAAGGATATCGTAAGGTAGGGTCTTATTATATCTTCAAACGTTACAGGGTGGAATAAGCTGATCAGACGCCACATAGTACAAAGATGAGCCCTTCATTGTTCAAACGGGGGATATGGAACGCCTGATCCTCCCTCATAAGTTCCTCGCAGAATTAAGAATGTTACCCCAAACAAAGCTTGATCAGTCTACTGCTCTCATAGAGAGATGGCTGGGCCGATTTAGTGGTGTAGATGTCATCCTAAAGAGTCGCCATCACTCTGATGTTTGCAGAGTGCAACTTACCCAGAATTTGCGTAAGTGTAACAGATCAAGCTCCTGTAATCAAGAATCAAGGCTGAAATTTATCACAGCTCAATTTATACCAGATATGGCGTCAGAACTTTCGTTCGCGATGGCTAAATCTCTATCACATTGCAATTCGCAAGGTTTGTTTGAACCACTTGTTAGAGAATCATCACATATCTTACTATCAAATCTAGAATACACACCAACATCCACGTACGTATTTGTATACTCAATGATTCTCGCAGTATCCTCACGAGTTTTCGTTGGCCTTTCACTTTCTCGTGATCAAGCTTGGCTTGGCACCATCTCTGCATATTTGAATGAAGTTGTTTTTATCGCCAATACACTTCGTCCATATCCTCGTGCATTGCGGCCATACTTACGACTAGTACTAGCGCCTGAAAGTCGTATGGAGGCTATTCTTGCAAAGGCACTTGAAATTTTAGGGCCCGCTATACAAGAGAGTCAAAAGCCAGGTCATGAAGCCAATGATCTATTGGGATTCCTCATCTCAACATCGGAAGTTGTTAATCCAAAGGATATCATTTTGAAGCTTTTAGTCTTGAATTCTGCTGCAGTTAGTTCTTAATCTCGCTTCAATTTATAGTCATTCATTATACAAGCTGACCAGAGACTAAACAGCTACACACATCTACAATGGTTGCAGTCCATACACTATACGATCTCTGCGAAAGGCCAACCTACATCCCCGACTTACGTGCTGAAGTCACAGGTGCCTTGGAAGAAGACAATGGATTATGGAAAATTTCTAGTATGGGCAAATTGAGGAAATTGGATAGTTTCATGAAAGAATCTATGCGATATAATCAACCTAATGCTCGTACGTGTATCTTCACCCCTCATACCATGTTACTAATGAATTCCTTTAGTCTCGTTCGACCGCATAGTTCTTACTCCGCACACCCTCTCTACCGGCCTGCATCTCCCAAGAGGAACCTTCATATCCATGGCTGCCTCCTCACTATCTCGCGATCCCACATACTACACCGGACCCTCCTCCCCCTCTACATTCGACCCCTCTCGCTTTTACCAGTCGCTCGCCCAAACACAGACAGGCGCCTCCAATCCCCTCCAAGAATTCATAGGTATAGAACCTGGTAATCTGGCTTGGGGAAATGGAAGACAAACATGTCCTGGAAGATGGTATGCGGGGGCCATAATCAAACTTGTTGTAGGAGAAATACTGAAGGGATACGAAGTAAAGTTTCCGGAGGGAGTGAGGAGACCGGAAAACGTTTACTGGAATGCGGGGATTATGCCGTGTGTTAAGCAGGAGATACTTTTGAGGAAGTTGATATAAATTGGGTTGGCTCAATCTGTGATGTGGGTATCTAATAACTCCAATAATATCCAAGAATTCTAAACATTCTAAATATTCTAATTATTCTCAAATTAAAATAATATACTAGATATCTATTGATAATTCTTTATTACTCCTTCTATATTCTAAACTACATACTGAATTTGTACAAATTTGTATTCCTATAAGCCCTCTCGATCTCTATCATCATACCAATCCCTCCGCCTACCAAAAGCTCCATTCTAGGTTAACCACGTGAATCAAATTTCTCACATCCCCTCGCTCTCTTTATCCACGTTCCCAATATAAACCTTCAGCGCCGTCTTTCTGGCACATACGACCATAGACTGAAGAGAATTGGGCATCCCGTCCGCTCTGCCATACACAAGCTTCAGATCGGTAGATTAGTAGTTGGGTGGGTGACCACCAGCGAATCCCTACTGTTGTATGTTTTTTTTTTCTTTTTGGACTTTTGATCGTGATAACATACTTGATGAACCTTGGGGGAAATTCAAGGAGAGAGATGCAGGCAGGGGAGGTTGAGAGTTTAAATTTTTCTAGTTATCATTGGTACACGGACCATAGGCTAATAGTTTTTGAGTTTCGCAGATTCGCATAATGGAGGAATATTTACCTGCAAGCTTGGGGTTAAGAGCTGCAACCAAGGTTGTACTGACACCTTGACTTTGTGTCTTCACGGGTAGCATAGCGAAGAGCTTCTCAGCACTTCCTCTCGGCATATGTCTCCAAAAGTTTGTGTCTATGACCAATGAGATATCAGCACCAAGTGCCTTTTGAGCGGAAAAGAGAACAGGCATCCGTGACGAACAAAGACAATTACAATCCCTCTTTTTGACAAGTTCAGAGAGCTGTGTAGACTATAAGGTAGTCGCTATTCTGCTCTGCACATTTGCAATTGTGAGAGGGAAACCAAGAATTCACGATAGTCCATGAGCTTAGCATAGTGTTTCGGGACTTTTGATCCTCTGGTAAAATGTTCCCATTGAAGTAGTTGTCCTCGAAACAGAAAAGAGAAAAAATGTAGCCATTACCACTCATATTTATGATTCGAGCTCTTTCTTTCATTGTCAGTCTGTACATGATTAGGTTGGTGAACAGGAAACTCTCAGGGTAGTTAATTGTCAAATGAATCTCAAACCATTAATACACGTAGACCCAGTTTGAGCCTTGGGATACCACATTATGTCCCTTATAGAGTCCCATCGATTCGTCTTGTCCAAAGAGGAGAACTTGACAAGCCTTGTAGGGCGCATTACCTAGTCACATGATGGTTCTACTAACGGATGGCAAGATTTCCTTGCGACTGGGCCGAGCTTAGAAATTAAAAGGGCAATGAAGAGCAATTCCAAAGGATACCACACGCTGAGCTTCAGATTCAAGGTGGTATCTCAAAGATTACCATGGTTCGGAAGAGATTCGCTATCCGAGCTGCAGGGCCATATCGAGAATGCAGGGTGTGTATGAAGAAGGCATCTAACCAGTTTTTGAGGCAGGCAGACCCTAGATTTAAAACCTGATAGTGTCTCTGTTAGATAAATCGACATATGATTCAGGCCTAGACGGTTCGAAAGACAGTTAGCTACGTTGTCGCAAAGGCACACCCGGTATGAATAGCACGATAGATGATCCAGATTCGGTTGTGTAAGATCCTCTCCACGTTTTTAAAACAAACTATATTTAGGACCTTGAGTTCATAACAGGGGCCAATAAATAGATCTTTCTTCATTGAGGAACTATACTTTGAGCATTTGAAGAAGGTAAAGTGTCTGCAAATCTAGAGTACCCCAGGTAGATGGTGGTCAACACTAACTTTCTAGCTAAAAATTTCTGCCATCCACCGCCTTCTACTTAAAGTGATTATGATCTCCACTTCAACGCTCACTGAATGACGATCCAAAAAGCTCCATTCACACGCGACGCGATTTGATCAGAAGTATTGAAAAAATACTACCTAGGTACTTTCTAGACTTTCAATTTGGTGGAATCCAATTCAAGTTCTAACATCCTTCACTATCAAGTGCTCACTTCATAATTCCATCTCTGTACACAAAATGCCACTTTCCGATAAAGCTTTGACGAACGCACTCTCCAAGACTGTTCGCGATGTATTTCACAGCGACGAGAAAGATCAATTAAGTGTACGATTTATTAGAACAAAAGTAGAAGAGGAATACGAATTGAGGGATGGCTTCTTGAATGAAGGAAAGTGGAAGGAGAAAAGCAAGGGAATTATTAAGGGCGAAGTTGTAAGTTCTGAGTTACAGCTATTCGGTTTAACAATCAATTCTAATTATCAACTGCAGGACAAATTGATGCAAGGAGATGAAGAAGAGCAAGAGGAAGAAGAAGAGCAAGAGGAAGAAGAAGAGCAAGAGGAAGAAGAAGAGCCTGTGAAAGCAAAGAATGTCAAGAAAACCTCTGCCAAAAAAGCTACACCTGCTGCGAAGCCAACGAAACGATCTTCTGCCGAAAAGAAAGCACCTCCTCCAAAGAGACAAAAGAAAGAGAAAACCCCCGTTTCTGAATCTGAACTTTCTGAGCCTGCGGAATCAGAGTTATCAGATATTGGTTCCCAAATGAGCGAAGACGAGCTAAAAGCGAAACCAAAGAAGCAAGTTAACAAGACTGCCAAAGCTACTTCGGATGACGAAATCGACCACAATGAAGATAAGGTAGCACTGAAGAAGACTAAGAAACCAGCAGCGAAAGAGGCTGTAACTTCTGGTTCTGAATTATCTGATATCGAATCGATCACTCAATCCGAGGCAAAATCTCCTAAACCCCCGTCTCCAAAGATCCGCGATTCATCCTTATCCTCTCTCCCAAAAACAGAAGAAGAAGCCGCGGGCAACGATTCTGACTCCTCTGCCATGTCTGTCGTTCTCGATGGACCCTTAACCACTAAATCTCGTGCCAAGAAATCCAAATCTACTTCGTCCAAGCCCTCTAAAACAACAAAGACTGCAAAACCTAAAGCCGCGAAGGCCAAGACCACGGCCGAACTTACACCCAACGAACAGTTGATTAAAACACTTCAATCGCAACTTGTCAAGTGTGGAATTCGCAAAATTTGGGCTTTTGAATTGAAGAAATATGAAACAGAAAATGAGAAAATCAAACACTTGAAGAACATGCTGACGGAGATTGGTATGACTGGACGTTTTAGTGAAGGCAGAGCCAGAGAAATCAAGGAGATGAGGGAATTACAGGCAGATCTAGAAGCAGTGAAGGAAGGCGAGAAAGCATGGGGAATGGGTAGAAGCTCTAGAAGAAGTGGAAGTGGTGTTAAAGAGGACAAGAAGAAGAGTGAGATTAGTGATGATGACGATGATGACAAAAGTAAGAGCGGCAGTACCAGAAATGATGACGAAGAGAGTGAGGATGATGACGACGATGAGGATATGGAGGTTTCTGTTAGGGCTAGAAGAAAGAATGATTTGGCGTTCTTGGGTAGTGAGGAGAGTAGTGATGATGATTGAGCGGTTCGACTACTGATTTGCCTTTTCGTCAAAGGGTTTGTACAAAGTAATAGGGGATATGGAATGGAAATGAAAATAGGAGTTACATGGTGTGAAGGTCATGGTAATGATATCTTAAATGCCATTGATGGGTCTGCATTTGTACATCGCATTGGGGTTATAGGATACAATATACCTAATATCAAGTGGCAGAATTATACGAAAACAATACAAATATTTTACTTTGGGCCCTCAAGTTGCGCTTTTGCGTCTACATTATAGCATGGATTTGAGATGGACCATGTATGGATTGGGGTGTCACATCAGCTCATGTGGCACGTGCAATTGGGTATAAAATATCATCGATTGTAACTTTTAAAAATACAAATCCTGTTATCTCTTCCCTTCCTTCAAAGTTCATACTCTTGAGATCATATTCCTCCACAATATGTCTGAGCATAACTAACCTAAATACCTCGCACTAAATGTTACAGGTTGGAAGAAACGAACATAGAGGATGGTGCACAGGGGGTTGATAAAGCATAGCATCTACATTATCGTTGTGTCTCTCCATTTCCACATGAAGTCTCTCATTAACTTCGACAAGCCTTTGCATTGTAAGTAATTTCTCTCTTTCAAATTCTGCAATTTCATCTTCTGGAGAATAAAGGATTGTGTACGGGAGATACGTTGGTGGTGGGCAAGACCAAGAAGGCGGTGGTCTCTGTAGATGCTCTGTGTGAGATTGTGGTATGCGAGATTCATAATGTAGTTCTGGTCGGGGGAATGGTGGCAGTTCCTGTGTATATCTTTGAGCAGATGTCGGTTCTGGTGGAGCTTGAACCGGAGCCCGAGGACCTTGAAATTGTGGAGGCGGATGTGGAGACGGATGTGGAGGCAGATGTGGAGGCAGATGTGGAGGTGGAGGGGGAGGTGGAGGGGGAGGTGGACGTTGAGTTCGAATGTTGGACCTATGAGAAGATTGTCTTAGTCGCGGTCGTTCTTGCCTCTCACTGCGATTTCCATCTATACTCGTAGCACGAGAACTTCCAGATGACCTGCCGGAGCTCGATTGACTATATTCCGATCTCGATTTGGCGTGGTATTTACGTGCGACTCGAGCTGCATGATCGTCGCGGAGCGGGGCGGATGAAGATTGTTGCGAAACTAGAGCGCTGCAGGATGCAGCTTTTGCAGGTGGCTTAAATAAAACTAAACGGGTATCGGGCTTTGGATGTTTGATTGTAGATGCCGAATTTCTCGGTTGCTCAAATGGCACCAAAGCTTGTTGTTCATGTTCATCCGAAATTACAGCTTGACGCCATGATTCTATGTGGGCGTTTTGATCAATCGGGTATTTGGAAGCGGCTGATAATCTTTGTAGACGCGCAAAACTGGGAGCCACGGGTCCGCATTCGGACGCATGTACAGAGGCAGGAGCTTTAGAGCTGGAACGTGCTGATCTGGGGGAGCTGTGCTGGCTACTCGAACCCTTATTGCCGTTGGAAAATCCATTTAAAAGTCTCGTTAGTCGGCTTGGCTTACTTGAAGCTACAGATCCACTGCTGGATTGTCCATACGTGCTTGCAGCGCCTGGTCGTCTTTTTCTGTTATAGTCATCCACAAGTGTATTGCTAGTTTGAGTCTTCGGATCCTGAGGCGTAAGTTGTCTGCGCGAAGTTGTACTTTTAGAAGATCGGTGTGTGGACGATTTGGATCTCGGATTTGACACGCTTGAGGCTGCCGAGCTCTTAGAAGATCGTCGTGTGGAAGACTTGGGTCTCATAGTTGACACGCTTGAGGCGGCTGATTGTATTGATCTTGGATAGTCTCCACCCTTAGGCCTGAAGGACTCTTCTACAGTAGACATGTTTCCCTCGAATGTTGGCTTGGATTTTATGGTTGATTGTGAAAATCTTGTTGTTTATGGAACTCTTGATTCAGACGTTCAAAAGGGAAGGGAAAAGTAAAGCTGGAAAATAATGGAGAGCTGAACGTTTAAGTATCCAAATTGAGGGTAAAATTTCTGAGCCTTGAGATTCATACACCAGTGAAATAAGTAATGATGAAATCTTCATTGAGTTATGATTCCGTTTCATAAATTTCGATATGAAATGACTCGAGTTCACTTAATTAAAAGATTCATATAGGAAGTTCACTTAAGAAGGCTTTATTTTCTTCTTTTTAAACCCAAAATGTTATCATTTTAATAGAACTGAAAAATCACTATTTGAAAAAATAAAACAAGCCGATCTATCTACTACATGATGTGCTGTTATATGGGTTTATTGCCGTAGAAAAAATATAAAAAAGTCATGGACTCATGATTACTCAAGTTGAATATGTATTTCAATGACTCATAAAGTGCGTGGCTTTTGGCTACTTAGAGCTCGACTTCTTTCAATCTACGTTTCACTCGTCGAATTTCTACATCAAAATTCAATCTTTGATCAACAACATCAAACTTCACAAGCACAAAAACCAAGCCTTCCAAGATACATTCGGTGATCAACCTCAAGTCCGGCACTCGTTTCACTACCAAGGCAAGGAACAAGTTGAATAATGTCTCGTGCATATGATCATGGTGATCCGCGTAGCCAAAGTCTCATCGGGGGAGAAGATCAGCCGCATCAAGGCTCAGGACCTGTCTACACCGATCCATATGGCCCTATTTCAAATGTCCAATCTCAATCTCGGTATGCTTCGAGTGAAACTCGATACAACGCGCAATACGGCACCCAATTTACAGGTGCGCAGCATGGATACGTAAAAGCTCCACCATATCGTCCTTTCCCAAGTTCTGGTTACAGGTATGCGAATTCTTCATCCTCTTCATCTCAACGCGCAATGCCAGCTCACCAATCTCAACCTGTTTATACTGGAAAACATGTCGAAACAGCTCCATATAAGAATTCTGTTGCGAAGCATTCGCTTCCACTCCAACCTACGACAATTGATGCAACACACATTCCACCTCCCTCCGCTGAGATGTTATCAAATTACTACTTCTTATCTTATTGTTATCATGAAAGGGACGCGGTTTACAGTCTCAATGCGCATTTGAAGCCGAATCAAGACTATCCAAAAAACATTATTTTTGCCAGAACAGACAGACCCAGTGTAGGTGCAAGTGCGAGGTACAATCAAGCGACTCATAGGCCTGCGGAATATTATGAGAGAAGGACAAGATAAAGAAGATAGGTAGCAATCGATAGGAAAAGTCGATTAATCAGCAAGACACGTGGAATATGAGAGCTGCGGCATCATCAGGAGAGCGAATTCATGAAGCGAGTGATGGATGGCGAGTGGAGGATTTTGATCGCAGGTATTAGGAGATATGGCAGGAATATGCTCACAAAGGAACCATACATAATGCTTAGACTTAGAACTCAAAAATCGATGACATTACAACTTTCAATCCTCAAGTACTCCTTCGAGTCAGGTTCTTAGTCATTTTCTCGAGTCATCTTTTGCAGATTTCACCGAATCATGCAATTTTGTTACTATGATTCTCAAAAATTCAACCCAGGGACTCATAGACTAAGTAGATACTAGCTACTTAAGAGTTCAGATTATCCAAAATTTCTGGACCGCTTTTCTACACTCATTTAAACCTCACAAACTCAGCGGCTTTAAGTTTTTGATTTGAAATCGGTCATTGTAACATCATAGCCCAAACTACCTTCAAATAGGAATCAACGACTCAATCGAAAGATGTCTGGCGCTTGGAACTTCATAGGAGATAATCATGAAAGCTGTCTTGAAGCAGGACAAGGTCGAGAAACCGTAGGAATGGATCAGCCACCACAAGGTGGTTGGCGAGGAAGACAAGAGGATCCACCTAGTCCATTTCCAAGCGGCAGCGGGTACGAGAGCTATGTAGCATCTACTAGCTCGTATTCCACTGCCCGACCTGAGCAACGCACGCCTGGTCGACACCTACCTCCTTCTAAGCGTCGTGATCAGACTTTGTCTAGCAGCTCAAGGCCAAGAGCCAGATCTCAGCGAGATACAGCGCTTTCGTCTTCAAACCGTGTGTACAAACGTCATATCCCCTGTAATACACACACTCAAGTCAAGCATCACGAGAATGCACCACCTCGATCTCCAGTCCTATCGTCCCAGTTATCCCCCCCTACAATTGTTGTGCGACCGGCAACTCCTACTACAGACATCAAAGAAATTCGTTCCATTCCTAAATTTCGTGGAAGTCAAAGTCACCCTGGTTCATCATTTTCACAGTATAGAAGTGTAAGATCAGCTCCGTATGGTGTTCGCAAAAGTTCCCTGAAGGTTTCAAATAAGAGGTTCGATAGAGGGGATCCGTTTACCAGCTGCGAAAAGTCTGAGAATAGAGAATTAGATCAGACAAGCTTGTTGGAGACTCGGGGAGAAGAGACGCAAGTATTGGAGATGGGTTTAAGTAGGTTGAGTATGTAATTCCGAGAAAAACAGCAAGGGAGAAGGCCGGAGGGCAACAGGGAGAATTTAGGTAGTAGGAAAGACAACAGCGAGTTTAGTAGAGGATAGAAATGAATCATGGGATTGACATTTTATTAGCAGGTGCCCAGGAGTGTACTGAAACAAGAAGCTAGAGGGAGGACGAGTAATTGCTAGACTTACCAATCAAAATCGATGATATTATCACTTTAATTTTTTAGTCATTTCTTGAATCGTTTCCATTCATACTTTTCAGGTTTTGAATTTCGAGAACTCGCGCATTGCATGGAGTTTTATTCATTCAAGGGTCCCTTCTCTCCGGATTTTTTGATTTAGTTTCCCTCTTTTTATCAACAACAATAAGACTGCATCAACATCCAACCGTAGATTTAAGAATCAACACTTGGTAAAAGTATTTCCAATAGTTTGAGTAGAGAACAATACAAACCAGCACTAAAGAATACAACCAAAAAATTGAAGGATGTCTAACGTCGTATAAAGATATCAAACACAGGCCGAATTCCAGCCTCGTCGTGATGATAAATTTGAGCTAGAAGATATCACGGAAACAGAGGATGATCGTCATTCAGTTCAATGGAAAGATGGACAATATACAAGTCAGCGACCTATTTCTACCATTCCAAATTCTGGCACTAGGCTTCGTCCCTCAAGTAGCGAGTCAGATCAATCTCGAGAAAGAAGTGACTATGGATCAGTTCCAGCATACACTTCTTCTGGAAGTGCCGAGTGTAGTTTTCCCCGTTATACGTCTCATCAACCACGGTATAGAAGACAACCGAACTCTGTACACATCAGGCAACCAGGAGAACGGTCATTTCTACCCACGGCTTATGCTACACAACATCAGTATCGAACACCCTCTCCATCACCGCCTCCACTGTCTCCACCACGTATAAGAATCAGCCGTCAACGTTCTCCCCCTTCGCCTACTTACTCAGTCTTCCGGAATCAAAGTACTTTTACACCAGCCGCCAGATATCAAATGGATTCCGGCTTACCATCTATGCGCCACAGAAATGCTTATACGAGCACCGCGAGACCAGATCAGTATACTGGTGCTTGGGGGGCTCAAGTAACTGAGTTTAGAACAGCTGAAGGAAATGATGCGTACAGAAGGTTCTTGAGGAGCGAAGCCGGAATGATATAAATTTTTTTTGAATACAAGATTGGGAAAGGTTAGACATACCAGACAGCGCGCTGACAATAAATGCATCAGAAAGTGAAACAGGAAGCCAGAGTGATATAAAATGGGGGTATTTTTTCCATTTGATAGGAGGGCATGACAGATAATGTGGGGATAGTAATATCGAATCAGTATATTGAGGAGTGTTAAAAACTCTTGAGGACTATGAATCAAAAGCGTTGATGTTACAAACTTATGTGTATGACCGTGCAGCAGAAACCCCAAATCAAGATTTCAGTCATATTCCAATTACTCGGATGGAACATCGGGTATTTCAAAGGATCCTTTAAATGCTGCTATCTTGCTATTAAAGTCATTGATGGCGCTTCCCTCCATCAACCCCAAATTTCTTCAGGACCAACACTTTTGACCATCAATATAGAATTCGATATCTAACCCAATTTCTTTACCAAAAACTCGAGGCGCAAAATCTAGGCAATGGAAATACGAAGAAGGAGATAGAGCAATGAAAGGGCAAGGAACGAAAACAGGGAGCCGATGAGAAAGAAATGGTAGAAGTAGAAGAAATGGATGTGTGAAAAAGGTACGAGATAATGTGACGAAATCAGGAGATCAGTTCAAGAGATCAGTTCAAGAGATTCGAGTCATTAATATTACACATTTGCGCTTGTTGCTAGACTAAAGTATAAATGACTTCATCGGTTTCGATTGTTCATATTTGGAATGTACACACTTTGCGGAGTCATAAATTCTTTGGCTTTTGTTCACTTAAGCGTTCGGTATCCCTCCAGATGCTGTTTATTTTTGCTTCTCTTCATGAACAACAACCATCAAATCAAAACTTCTTATCAACATCCAGAATCCAAATCAATACCATACCAATACAATGACGCGTAATCCAGTTGGACAGAGAAATCCAAACAGAGCTCCTCGAGCACCCAAAGAGCAGAGGGCCATCGTGCAGATTGACGATTGCTTTGAGGATTATATGTTTCCCGACGGCCAATCTAGCACGTCATTCCATGGAGCAAATGATCGTCATCCAGCCCGAGCGACATTCGCTGACCGAGGCTCAGATACCACATCTAAAGCTTCGTCCGTCGAATCCGAAACTCAGATCAGTGGAGAAGAAGATCAATACACAGACCAGGAATCCGCTGACAGTGATACGTGGTCTACGGAAACATTGCAGTCGGATGATGAGCCTGCGCCCAAGAATCAACACGAGGATCAATATCAATCTGGTTCACCACCGCCAACGCCACCACCTCCTTCTTTTGTGTGCCTAAATAATGCTTCTCATCGTCATGAGCATCATGAAACTCATCGCCAACTACATGATTCCAATTCTGTACCTGTCACGAAACCCGAGGAACAAACTTTTCTATCTGTGGCGTATGAGGCACCGAGTTCACATCGGGTTCCACGCATCCCAGAACGCTTTGCATGCCGACCCCCTCCCTATTTTTTGTCGCATTACGAACTCTATGATTATGATTCAAATTGGGACGAGCTTCTGTGCCTCAGGGGGGATTCCGAAGAGCTTGATTATCCATGGGCCATAATTTGTCCTCCGGAACGACCCATAGAAGACTGTGATGACGCGTGGGAAAGGCGAAGGTCACTAGCCATCTTTCGGACCAGGACAAGATCGTTGGATCGCTACATGAGAATGGAAAATGCGAAATAAAATGTAACGAAGGGGTTTCAGCATGTAATAAAGAACGATAAGTAAAGTGTTTGAGAATGAACGATGGAATTGAGAAATGGCAGTTAGTCGTAGATAATAAATCGATGATATTACAACTACACAACATTTTTCCCTATTCTCGAGCTTTTGAAATACGTTGTTGTTCTCTTAATTTGTTAAATATATATACAATAAATTCGAGAGTCATGAGATAATTTCCAGGAAGCTATCTGTAATTATAGGATGGCTTTGCAGTTATTTACACCACTACAATCACCATGCACTTCTATTAGCCGAAACTCCACAAAACGCGTTTTTTCACACGTTACACTCCCATAATCACATTTTATTATTTTAATTATACTTTCAATTCATAATACACAATATATTAGAAATACATAAAATAATCCTTATAAGTATTTTATTTCATATATACACAGCAAAATAATTAGTAAAATAAAAAAAGGTCTCAATTTCTATTGAATTATAAAAAGCCTTGAACTTTCTTATAGAACTATATAATACATTTTTTTGCAAAATCTAATATATAACAATAATATATACTTATTATATATTAATTAATCTAAATTATATATTAAACAAAATAAACAAATACTATTATAATATATACAATTATTTCCGAAAACTATATATAAATAAATTATTTAAAAGATTAAGCTTGATTATAGTATTAAAATCATTAAAAGGATTTTGATTAAATATAGTATAATCAATTGAAGATATAAAAAGAGATTAGAGTTTATATCAGCATATACTATTAAATAATTTAAATAATATTTAGCTTATAAAGAATTAACAATTAAAGAATAAGATCTAATTATATAATTAAATAAATACTTTATAAAAAAAAAAAAAAAAAGATCAAAATAATATTTTTATATTAACTTTCAGAAATGGGATTCAGAAATAATCGAAATATATAATACAAATAAGAATATAAAGATTATATATTAGAAAAGCTTTTGGAATATTGGAAAAAGTAATCTATATATAATAAATAGGGATTTTGAGAATACAAAATATAGATATAATATTAAATCTTATTTTAAGATTCTTAAAACTAAAATAAACTCTATTTTTGAAAAGCTTAATTCAAAATATAAATTTATATAGAATAATATTTCTATTTATTATATTTATAAAATATAAGATTGATTTCAAAAAAAAGAAATCCTTTTATTAAAAAATTAATCTCTTTATTCCCCTAATTTCAATTCTATAAAATATATATAATAAATCCTAAAGATAAAAATATATAAGATATTTCCTGATATTACTATTAATAAAAACAAATCAGAATATATTTATTAAAAATTAAAAAGTTATCTATAAATAATTTGAAATATATTAAATAAAGAATTATTTAATAATTCGAAAACTAATATATTTTTTAGAATTAAGACTTATATTATAGCGAATAACTAGTATATTAAATATTAACAAATTAAAAGTCAATAATAAAATAATTTTTATATATATCAATAATATAAGAATATATTATTTATTTATTCAAATTTCATAATCTTATAATTCTTGATTGATTTAATATTTAATATTGAAAAAGGGTGGTGTAATATATAACACCATAAAATAAGCGGGGGGTCGGATATAAGTGGCCTAGTACTGTAGTCTATGAATTTCAAAGACCTGCAAGCCGACTACTAGTGGGTGCATGGATTGACGGGACACTTCCCAAGTTTCTAAACATTTAATAAATTCATTCTTCAATTGTTTAATATCAAAACTCAATTTTTTTGATTATTTGATATCTAATTGATTATTGTTGTAATTTCTAAGATATCTCATTTGACAGGTCGAGAGATATTCACAAGTCCTTTTTTGTAGTTGTATGATCATAGACACGATCTTGTAACAACAACGGCTTTGATTCATAGGCCTAGAGAACAATCATTACCCCTTGATTTCCACTTGGTTCTATATCTCTAGCCTCGATGCATTCGTTGTAACTTCATCAACTCGGAAACTTGCCTCTCTATCCTACCAAAGAGAAGGAAAATCAGTGGTACGAACAAGCGGGAACTCAACCCTTTAGTAAACGAATGTTGAGAGTTCATGAGTCCTCGCTACTCATCTTCTTCTGATGTGAACAATCACAGACCTATGATTCTTGGAAATTAATTCAGTATACAAAGTCATAAAATCAAGTCACTAGTTCAATTATCATCTATGAATCAACCTCACAATCTTCTGAACAACACTCAGAATATGACTCGAGGTCTGGAAGTTATGTAATATCGTCGATTTTTAGTTTCCAGGTCTAAATACCTTCCATTATCCTTCACAAACACACATTATGCGGAATCATCCTCAATGTAATAACCTCCCTTCTTCCTCATTTCCGACTGAATTTTCCTCTCTGCCTTAGCCTTCCTTTCCATTTTATCACTCGTCTTATCAGCATGTGCTGTTACGAGTGGATCTTCTCCAAGTCGCGGGCCGGGCCAGCCAAGCTTATTATGTCCTCTGTGTGCGTATGTTCTGGTATCAATGTAAGGTTCCCATTCGTCAGCCGCTGATTGCACTGAGCCTGAATTGGATGATCTTCCGCTTGAGCTTGAGCCATAAGACATTTGGCTTGAGACCGAGCTGCCGGATGTGCGGCTTGAGTTTGAGCTCACTGACGAACTGCTCGAGCCTGAGTTGGAAAATACTCGACTTGGATTTGTGCTCACTGATGAATGGCTTGAAAACGAGCCAGAAGACGCCCGACTTGAACCTGATCTAGAAGAAGCTCGGCTTGAGTCTACTCTGAAGAACATTTGATCCGAGCCAGCGCCCGAACCAGAGTGCGTCTGGCCTGTGCTTGAACCCGAGTAAGACGACATATTTTTCTGATTTGGTGAGTTCGACGAAACTCTGGACTTTACTTAGTTCCAGCTTGTATATCGACTTGGATCTTGCAAATTATTTGATTTCGCAGTCGATTTTGAGACGCAGTTGATGCAGATCCTAGTACTAGTATGCTTGCACGCAATAGTATTAACGATATCGGAGATTAGGAATTGTGATATTGAGGAAAAGTCTCTGGAATTTGATGAAACTTTTTAATTTTGACGTGGATAAAGAGGGGTGGAATTAGGAACAAGGAGAGAAGGAGAGTAGACCCTTAAGTGGGCAAAAAATGCATGCGCAATGAGTCTCAGACATATGAATTTCAGTAACAATATGATCAGGTCAATCTTGATTCGATTCATAGTAGTGAGTATGAATGAGTCCATTACACGTTATTCCACTCGTCTATCCTAGGGCCGACCTTCGAATCAACAGAATTTTTATATGTCCTATTTGGATAACCCCTAACCCATATTATAACCCCAAAACCATAATCCCTAAGCTTCACTTTTGTCCAAAGATGGGTAACCCCAACTCGATTCGAATTCAGGGAAGCCGATCCATTTTCATTTATTCGCCTAGTCATTCGGGCATACACATAGCCACTTGGTATAATTTCACATCCACTGATATAAACCACCATCTTATGCGGTAGAATGGGAAAAGTATGATAAAGACACAAAAATCAAATGAAAAGATAACCAGTGAGTGAACGTTTCCAGATAAAAATTAACGTTATCCATCAACTATAGCCCCTCAAGATCGCACAGAAGACTACAGTCTCTACAGCTCAAACAGCGCCATTTATAGATCCCCCGAACTACCAGACCCCGTGCCCCGATCCCCCACCTCCAATTTTTCTTCCTCGCTTTCAAAGACTCAGTTGTTTCCCCCTCAATATATGATGGCTTTTCCGTAGATCCTCTGTATCCCATACCCAGCCTGATCTCACCTAACCCATCCGATCTAACCAACCGAAATACAAATATTTCACACCCTTTCCTACTCAGCTATTAAGCATCAAGATTTCCACTAGGAACACCGATACAAACACTTGCCATTCTATCCTCCAGGAACTCCACACTCCCACTTCCACCTCTCTGCCCTGTAGGAATACTCGGAACATCTTATCTTCTCTTATCCTCTTTCCCCGTTCTATCTCTTCGCTTTGACTCCCTACTGAAAGATATCCACACTCGAAGGCATAACAAGTTATATGTGTCATAACAATCCCACGCATAATCTCCACTGATCACATCATACACATCACAATTTGGAGCCGCAGCGGAACCCATTATTTTCTCCTGTCTTTTGTTTTCCTTTCTTCACTCTTCACTCCACTTAAATTTTGTTTCGGTATAAATACAAACTGCCAACACTCCACGATACATCTATCGGGTAGGTACCCAGACCGATCATCCATTCTAAAGTTGATTTTCATCCAGCTGTGTTCTTCAACCCCCACCCCCTTCATTTTAAGCCCCATCCACCCTCCCACTTAGCATATCCATCCATCGCTAGATGAACGCCGGCCAAAATTCATCCACAAAGATCCCAATCAATATCATCGATGGTGTCTCCTGTGTTCGATGACTGTTCCCAAAGAATTCCATCAAAAACTTCCATGCATGCACACATATCATGTTCCATCAAAAAACGAAGAGATCTAAAAGCAAGAAAGTAAAAAGAAAAAGGTGTTCTATGTACAGATCGACCGACGGTACGGATCCATTCGCTACTCGCAAACATTGGCGTCAAGCTTGACATGATAGGTTTAGACATCATATAAAGCTCAACTGGTGTAAATCGTATTCAATCGCTTTTACAAGCACAGAATCATATTATGTGATTGCAGTTTGACTTCCGGCTAAGATGCCTTCGCGTGGTATAGCATTGCCGCAGTCGAATTTCGCTCATTAAGGGGAATGTTGAACCAAAGTTTTTAAAGTTCGGCATTGTTTTGCCTAATGAAATAAGCCCTGGTGTTTTTGTTAGTTTTGATTCCAGATTCAAAATTCAAAATCATAGGAATACTCACTTGCAAGCCTCATATGCGGACCAACAGATAGCGGTACTAGGCATAGTGGTAACCACTCTTGGTTTAACGCCCTTGAAGAAACCACCGAATCCTGCTCTCCTATGAATAACCCGGCATCCTTCCACAAAACCACTGACATTTCTCAATTCCGCATCAGTCGCTGTTCCTCTGGTTTGTAATAAAGTCTTAACCACATCCATAGGCGTTGTGAGAGCAGCCGCAAAACCTCCTGCAACCGCACCCGCTGAACAATGGGTCCATGGATCGTATTTTTTGGTAGGGTTCATGAAAGTCGACATGGATTCGTATGCGAGGAATTGGAGAGCAGTGAAAGGAACTGTCATGGATAGGGTGGTAGGATAAGAAACGTAGAATGCGCTAAGACCTTCACTTCGATAAACGTATCTAGCACAATCCGGCATTGATTTGTACATAACTTTCGAGTTGTGCATTTGCATGCGCTGTTTGATAACTATAAAATGTCAGCAATCAAATAGAGAATAATGTAAAATGCGTATCGTACCATCGAAAGGATTCATGAGGGCATCACTTGCAATGGTTGCGCAAGCCCCACTAGTAGCTATTCAGTATTAGTAAACGTTAAAAAATTTGGACTTTTCTCAAAACCAACCAGCAGCAAGAGGATGGTGAACACCCGCTTGGTTTCCTCCCATGACGTGCTTCACAGCTTCATAAGTAGCAAAATAGACAGCGTGTGCAGGTCCTAAACCACTATCAGTATTCTTCCGTGCGTATTCGATTCAAGCCAAACTGACCAGCTCCCACAACCACACTTGACATGCCCCTCCATAGACTGAAAATTCCTTCTCCGGTAGCTATCCGATATCCTCCTTGTATGACACCATTGTAGACTGCGGATGGGGTAGGGTTGAGAATTTGCATTCGGGTCTGCTTGATATCAATATCGAATTTTAACTTCATCTGAGGGGCAATTCATATATACCTTGATTGCATCGATCGGGTACATAACAGTATGTTCCTATAGGTCCATCAGTATCGAATGCAAGAGATCCCGTAGGTTAGAAGAGCGTACCGCGATTCCGGCAAAGGCGCCCGCAGCCATATTCTGGATTAACGAAAAATTTGGTGGGAGAGATTCATATCTAGCCAACAAGGTATTAGTGATTTGCGCCTGCAACCCGATGAAACCAAGAATCCAATTGCCCTCATCATCACAAGCACATACTCATCATATTCCTCCAAAGGTTCTCCGCCTGGCTTAGCCATTTGGGCTAACACCGCAGATCCTCCTCCAGCTTGAGCTGATTGAAGAGCCAGGTTGTCGACTTCCGTAGAATCAACAATGAATCTCGCAGGTCGATAAAGATAGACGGTATGGAAATTGTACAGCTTCTAATCTAATAGAAGTTTTTTCTGCGATCGAGTGGTGGTTGTGATTGAAGGGGGGAAGAGGAAGAGGGGTGGCGGGTTGATTGGTAGATATCGATTTTTAGTTGAAAGCAAAATAAAAAAGTGGTGATGCTGTGTTTTTGTTTCCCCCAAAGATCCGAGATACGAATTGAACAGGGGTTTCTTTGGAATAAAATCGGGACCGAGGTACCTATAGCTTTGTACAAAGTTGAGACTGCTTGATTGCTTGATTGGTTGATTGCTTTAAAAGAATCAAAAGGCTGTACAGAGAAATTGAAGGGGAAAAAGAGGAACTCTCAAAGGAACTCTGTTGGAACAGGTTGGATCTTTTGAAGCACACAGCAAAGTACCTTGTAGACGATCACAACGAAAAAAATCAGACAGAAATGTTTGAACCATGAATTAAAGAAAAGTCTCTGTCAGTACTTATTAGTCGAATTGGAGAAAGTCTTTCATTAAGATTACATATCGAAATCCTCAAATTCATTGATTTACATAGGCAAAGAACAATTGCAAGATAATATATATTTGAATATTACGTATCGCCATCGAAAAGTCCAATTCTTTGTTATGTCCTGCCTCCGCTTTCGCAGTCTTACAGCCTTTGATCGGAACTCTCTGCTTATTGTCTTGCCCACTGTTGGCTGAAAGCTTCTTGGACAGTTCCACGGAGTTACCACTTTATCTGACAAGAAAGATGACCCGGAGTTAAATAAATAAAAATAGTATTCGGGTCTTGCGGCTATGTAGATATTCTAGGATTTCAGGTGTCTGGCGGATCCTTCTGTCTCTTTTCTAGAACTAGAACGGCGTAGACCATCTAGACAATCGTCTAGACGGTCATCTCATCTAATCTAATCATGAAGCGATCCGGCTATTCGGTACGTGCCTACCTATCTACTACTCTATTACTCCTATTACATACATATGTACAGATTAGCAATACAAATTTCAATTTATGAGATATTTCAATCACTCCCCACCATCTATCTGGATAATCCTAGGGCATTTCCCCTTATCGTAGCTCGCGCATCTATCCAGTTCGCATCAAACAAGGTGTGGATGAAAGGAACATACATTTACCGGCAGAAAGACAACGGTCAGAGGCTCAGGCGCGCAGCAAACCCAAGCACGATCCTTGAATACTACCCAGCCACGTGATATTATTGTATTTAGAAGATTCCGTGTTTGTTTGGCCCGAGAAATTGTGCCGTCCCTAATCTTAAGGTAGGAAGTTCTTTTCTTGCTCAATAAGGTTACTGTGTAAAGAACCACCAAGCACTGAATTGCATTGTACCAAGCATTGCTTCAACTGGATATGCCCGGCATATGGCAGCAATGCGAAACATTTCCTTTTAATATATGCAGCAAAGTTGTCTGCATATACGATTCTTCAAAGCAGTGAAAACCATGATCACAGATTCATGAGTGAAAGACATCAATTTCGCACAAAGGAAACCCATCCTGTCAATTTTCTGATCATATTCTTAGTACTCAACGTGCTGTCTACCTCTCCTCTACTCACGAGTTAACATACCCATCGAATTTGAGATCGACATAGTGTCTTTATGTAGCATTTCTCGAGTTTATGATTGTATATGAACACAGCTTTTTCAAATATACATCATGTTGGATGTTGTTTGTACGACGTTCTTAATCAGGTGATGAAGCGAAGTATTCATTGTGTCAACATAACTATCACAAATACCAAACCTGTTACCTTCTAGCACGCTTCGTGCGGCGGATTTTCATGGATATATAATAGGTATCTATTACTGCAATTTGTATGATAGAGCTTATTCCACCCGATCTGTTCCAAGCAAGGCCAAAATCTCAGACACTCATCTTAATTGGTTTCCTCCCAACCGTCACACAAAAAGGCTGCGTAAGTCTAGTGCCTCTGCACACCTCCTCATACGCCTTTGGAACATTCACACCCACCCTCTCCAACTTTTCCATGACAAACCGACTCCCGTTACTCGCCATTTCATGTACAACAGCACATGACCCATCCCCCACCATTTTGGACTGCCATGGTTGTTCGAACGCGAAATCCTCCTTGATACCTTCTAGATCATATCGTGCAAATAATTTAGGCAGAGCTGGAACCCATCTATGAGAGTCAGAATTGAGGAATTTGAAGCTACAAGGAGAGCGGTAAGATGCGACGATATACCTGTGATCTTTGATGTTTGCCTGCACATTAAGAACCTTAGCGACATGTGGTGCCTCTTCGCCATTTGGTCCCTCGGCGATACCCCGATTTGGATCAACTTCATCCCACTAAATATATTCTCCCAGACCTACAACGATTCTTCAGTCACTCTATCCTTCTCGCCCTCAACGAAGGAACAACGTACGTAACAATTTCAACGCGTGAGTAAGAACTGCACTCGGGTCCCCATTCATTACAACACCTAACCAAAGACGTAAATGCACGATATCAAAACTCTCTAACAACTCTTCAGGAGGATCAACTTGAAGACTGTCCATAACTTCTAATTTCACGTTCGAGGGTAGGTAATTGGGATGGAGGAAATTGAGCGGAGGAGATATCGAATCCGCATAGCTGGGCTGTGGGAGGGAGTCGCCGAGCCAGATCTAAAGGCCAGATTCTATGCGGGCGGTCTGATATTAGTCATTGAAATCCGAACAACCCATCAAATGTAACACAAGTCACAGTTCGAAAAGACATACCCGGTACCAGTCCCCAAATCAGCAACCCGATATTTCGGCCGAGGGGGCGGAGGAGGGATAGATGGGTGCAAAAGATATCCAAGCCCATCTTTCCAGAAATAATGCTGCAGATTGAGCCTACTCATTCATAAGTAAAGATTCACGTCTCGCGGAATCGTACACACCGAATCGAAGCGTGCATGTCCCGAACCAATACATATCCCGGCTCTTTCTCCATTTCTGCTGATAATTTAATAGACTTCTTTCCAAGTGGTGTTTGTGTAGGTACGTCACGAATATAAGGTAGAGTATTCCGCACTTCTACATGTAAAAGCCCAAAAACGAAACTAGCTTTTCACTCGACCAAACTACCTTTATAAGTATTCAATTTCCGGCAAGAGCCACTTCCCATAGAATCACGTGTAGAACAGGTACATACATGGAATCTTCAGCTGAACAACCTGAACTACGAGCTGAAATAATCACATACAACCACATAGGCGAACCAACTGATAACCATCATCGAATTCAATGTTACCTGCTTATATAGAATATACACGACGATTACAGGGGTGAGTAAGCTGATCCAATTGTCTGGTTTGCTTGACAATTGAATTCGATCATTACTTCACAGAGAGGAAGTCCCGCCTACCTAGTAGATACTTAGGTTGCATCGCATTACATCCTCGAATGATGCCCAGACTCCAGAGATTCAAAGCTAAGCTATCCACCCACCGCGCCGGCTCGATGAATCATCAACAATTCATACACTTTCATTGAACCATTCAAAGCCTATATTGACCCAGAGAAAATAGACATATACATAATTTCAACCCAGCCATCCTCACATCTCCATAACCAAATGCACACATAAGAAAACCAATCCCGAAGTTTCCCCGCCCCAGAATCTATCCTATCCTGTTATACTTTTATCACGTGTAGCTACTAAATTAGCTTAGCTTAGATTAGCTAATCCTGGGCCAGTATCTTGGCCCTTGGCACCATTCTAATTCTACTTCTTTTATTCCACACCTAAACCTCACATATCCTATCTTAATCTTATCACCCCTCGGCAATCTCATCTCATCCCACCCCATCCCATCTCAAAAAAACATCCCTGACCAGCACACACCAACCCACCCCATCCATCATCTCATCATCATCGTACGATAACCCTCCCAAACCCTCCCACCACCTCACCTCAATCCCAAACCCTCATGCCATTTCTCATGCACCCACCGCATTTGGGAATCGCATTTTCCCATTTCCCATCCTGTACTCCCTGGTCTGGAAGAAGTCCATACCGCAACTACTAGGTACCTACCTGGTAGTAGGTAGTTTTTTTTTCAAATTGTGGAGGCGACTTATATGTAACCTAACCTTATAATGCATCGTAGAAAGAAAATGAAAAAAAGCTTGGATTTCTAACTTAAAGGCTGGCTGGTATTATTTTCGTATTCGGATTGTTTGGGATAACCTGGAATCTTGTATTATCATTACCTATGATATGAGACCTATGTTGTACTATTCTGAATCAAATTTTCAACGACACTGATCTTAATCCATGATACTATCTTCATTTACCTATCATTTTAATCAACTTGACACTACTGTTTCCGACATTAAATGATGAATTATTGATATCAAAATTACTTCCTAGAGATATGCACACATCCATGTGGCTCGCTTCAAATCCAGGGGCTTGGGCCCGGACCAATATCATCATCGTGCATATACATACTTCCCTATCGCCAAACACCTTGAACACCACAAACTTCCTACATACTCGCTACCATATGCTGACACCTGGTCTACCGTTTGTTTGCGCCTTCTGAAATTGATACACCAGTCCCAAAACACCATCTCCCGCTGTCCCATCGCCATCTTCCTCATCATCCTTTCCCTCATTATCATCATTTGCGGGAGACACTTCCCAAGTTGATTCGCCCAGATTTGCGACTGTATCATCGACTGCATAAGATCTTCCAGGTTGAAGAACTGGTCGGCCAAGTTCATCTTCATCTTCCATCGGCTCTTCTCTTATATTATTTTCTCTACGCGCTGGGTATCTGGATCGAGAAGTCCGTCTTACGCTACGAGCATCGACTTCAGACGCTGAAGGCTGGTGACGTGGATCCAAAAGAATAGAAGCCATAGGAGATCCCATAGCAGTGGTATTGGATGGGAATCGAGTTGTTCGGGGTGCTCTATTCATCGGTCTCACTTCACTCTGTCCCATCCTTGAGCTCTGCATATCTGCACCCAATGGAGACATCAAACCTGGAAAGGCAGGAGGAGGGTGAAACTGCTGTCGCATGCCAGGAGGATTATGCCCTGGTACGCCTGTCTTTGGATTGAGCATATAGTTGTCGAGAAAATTATAGTACGAGGCGGCCATTTTTCCGTGCTTGGTAGAATAATAATCTTCTCGCACGTCCGTCTTGACTATACCTCGCGATGGAGCACTACCCACTCCTTTCTTGAAGTCGAAAACAGCAAAAGAGCAAACGTATCCAACGCCATCGACATGAACCGTGAATTCTCTAAAGAAATCAATGATCTGTTCGGAGCACTTTGGCAAGCTGAACCATAACAGAAATGGGGTAATTATAATACTCAAGAATTCCTCAAGAAAAATTACAAACTTGAGCTGATAGAGAGTGGAGAACTCTTGCTTAACCTCGTCGCTGTGGAGTCGATCTTGCCAGTGACTTGGCATGTAATGAGTATATTCGATCACACTTCGGAGTGCGTACTCGGGATCAAATACCTCATTTTCTTTTGGTATCATACCATTTGTGATAGCCCAAATCGATCCAAACACTCCTATATAGAACAGAACCGGCCTCTCCGGGGTGATATCAAATCCGGCTAAGACCTCAGAGTCCCAAATTGTGGCAAGTATCAGAACGGACACAATGGCTCCGGCAACGAATGTTATAAATCTAGCCATATGAGCGGTTTTGATGTTTGGAAATTGATTAAGATAGCGCGACGCAAACGGATTGGACATATTCAGCCGTCTATTGAATAGGTGATGAAGTTCATTAAACTCCCTGAATTTCCACTCCGCCAAAGGCGTGTAACCACGCGCTCCAAGTGCTGCAGGGTTTTTATGATATTGCTAAAAGTCGAATTAGCAAAATGTCATGCGTCAAGGAATAGGATAGCCTTACATTGAAGTATTTGAAGAAATACACAATCAACACATATATGATGATGACAGGACCACAGAAAATATTCATAAAACCGGCAAAGAGGAACCTATTTCGTAACCCATTGCTCAACTCTCGTCGATGAGAATCCTTCAGAATCAATTGCCTGACCTGGCCATAGTCATTGAAAACAAAATCTAATATGCACCACTCCAGGTTCCACTGTAAAGTTTTCGAGAATAACTGTCGACCTTGCAAAAAAGGAAGTGGTAAAGTCAGATCCAGAATTTCCTTGTTAACCAGGGCAATGAGGTAATTTTCTTTCCTCATTAAACGATTTGCTATATCATGAGCATCAAGTCGCTGTTTTGACTGAGTACCCATGACAAACTTCCGATTATTCGGCGAAATCCTTTCCACGGTCATAGGATTTGCGTCTCGAAGCGCCATTACCCTGCCTATAACATCTTGAAAAGATACGGTCTGCATATTACTATCTTGAATCTCAAGGAGATAAGTAAAGAAGTCCCGCATTCTCATAAGCCTCGGGAGATCCGTCAAGAGCTGATATATCTTATAGAGAACAAATAGACAAACTAGCCAAATTGCTACATTTGAAATTCCGGATATCTTCTTTGTGCATTGTGGAACCAACGCATGACTTAAGCTACGAGCATTGCCACGATAGATCTTCTTATAGTCGACACATTGCGTAAGGAAAGTCGTAAATATTGTTACAAAAGTAAGGGTACTAACAAAAAATAAATCAGCCCGGTTTACTTCACTTCGAAAGGATGTACTCACAGGATATCGATGGCTTTGGCTAGAACTATACACCAAATACCAGCCCCTTCAAAATAATCGTATAAATCTCTGATGAAATTGTCCAGATTTGTCACATTAACCCATCGATACATAGCTTTATCTTTTGGGCTGCCTGACAAATAGACTCCTGTATTTCGAGGGATAGCTTGTGTTGTATGCGACACAGGAGTCGTCCTGGCTGCATCATCTTGGTGTAGTTTCTGCTGGTCCTGCATCATCTCCCAATGAGCTCTCTCCCTCTCATCTTTTATCTGCTGTGCTGATGGTCTCGGTATTGCGTGTGCTTTCTTTGGAAGCGCAGGTTGCCTTGCTCGAATGGCTGGACCCTCCCGGCCAGGATGACGATTATCTCCCTCTATCAACAACGAAGCAGGCACATCATCGTCAGGATCTTCTGCAAGTAACCTAGGCGATTCTGCGAAATGATTTGCTCTTGCTTTACCTTTTCCTTTGCGGTCATATTCTGGCTTGTGTGTTGGCTGTTGTTGATCAGGTAGGTATTTTGTACTTTCTGTAACGGATTCACCGCTGATCACATCTGCCAGATTTCCCAACTCGTCATCATGAAATCTTAAGTTCTCTTCGTCGAGTGCCATTGCCGCTCGTTCCTCTACATCTATTTCCGATTCGGAAACCTCGTCGTGAGCACGTAATGAATCATATATCGATCTTGCTTGGGAATTCGAAGGCAGCAGCCGTGAAATAAGGTTGGAGGTCATCATCGTGAGAAGTATTCATCGAAGAGTATGTATAGGATTGTGCTGCAAATTCAAATAGACCTGTATGATATCTAGTCAAGATTGCAAGGTGCTATCGGTCTTGTAGATTTATGCTGAATCCTGCCAAGGGAATAAAGCAACCTTGAGAGTGATTGCGAGTTACGTAGGGTATTAAATACGACACATTACTGGAAGAACCCAGCCATATGGTCGACAGATCTTCAAGTCAGCTGAATAATGTTAACGGTTTCAAGTCGATGGTTGAAATATAGAGCACGAGATAGTAGGTGAATGATGAATGACGCCCACGCTCAATGCGATACGGACAACTCGATTATCTGCCACTCTGACCGCTTTCTTATCAACCTTAAATGGTTTAGCTTAATTATAACCCATGAGAGATTGTAGAACTGGTGTTCGAGACAAACAAAACGGTGAATATTCAAATATAGTTTCACGGTTGAAGAACGGTGATTGAATTCGAATCTTGGAAATCATGACGGCTGATTACTTTACTCGAAAACAGTCATATTCGGGGTTTGGTGATGGAACTGATTCTCCTGGAACACCTCTAACATCAAGAACCAATCCATTGTCTTCAAAAGTCACGAGTGTCCTTTCAGCATCTTATGCCGATTCAGATATTAGAGATGCTCTGTCCTTGTTAGACAAACGAGGTATACAGAACACTGCCGAAACTAGACGACAGCTGAGATTAGATGTTCAAAAGGAGGTCATCGAAAGTAATGGCGATATAATTCGTGAATTCGGTCATGTAGCTGAGGTATGAGGTATCTCTCCTCTATTGTTGAAAACTCCATCTCATCTTGAATTTTAGCAAATTAAACGCATTGGTCTTACCATTGCTACTCTCAATCAAGGATGTGAGGAAATGAAACGACACATTTCAGCCGCTCATCAAGAAACAGCTCCCGTCATACAGGAAGCTTCCGAGCTCATGAAGCAGAAGGAACAAATGCAAGCAAAGCAAGAATTATTGAATGCTTTCAATGCACATTTTATTATGTCAGAAGATGATATTGCATTACTTACTTCGACGGCGGAGCCTGTAAATGATAAATTCTTCTCTGTTCTGAACAGAACAAAGAAGATCCAAAATGATTGTGAGATTTTACTTGGAACAGAGAACCAATGGTTAGGATTGGAGATCATGGAACAAACTACAAAGAATCTTAATGGTGCTTTTCAGAAACTTTATCGATGGATTCAAAGAGAGTTTAAGACTCTCAATCTGGAGAATCCACAAATCAGTTCTTCGATTCGTCGCGCTCTTCGCGTATTAGCAGAACGACCGTCGTTATTCCAAAGTTGCCTCGACTTCTTTGCCGAAGCACGGGAAAATATACTTTCTGATGGATTTTATACTGCCTTGACTGGGACCACCGTTGGCGGCGAAGAAGACCCTTCAATAAAGCCAATCGAACTAGTGGCCCATGATCCGCTGCGTTACGTTGGTGATATGCTAGCTTGGACCCACTCGGCAACGGTAGGCGAACGAGAAGCACTTGAAGTTCTATTTATCTCAGATGGTGATGAGATTGCAAAAGGAATACAAGCTGGTTTGGATAGCGAGCCTTGGAACCGCATATCCGAAAGTGAGAACGAGATCGGTCATTTTGATGGTCTAAAAGCTCTCAATGAATTAGTCGATCGGGATGTCACTGGTGTTGCACGAGTCCTTCGTCAAAGGATTGGACAGGTAATACAGAGTCACGAGGAGGTCATTATGGCATATAAGATAGCCAATTTGTTGAATTTCTACCGCGGGACATTCAAAAGATTATTGGGGGATGATTCCGTTCTCCTAGAATCTCTTGCAACACTCGAAGAATCTGCATTACGCCAGTTCCGAGCTTTGATGCGCGATCATATTACCAGTCTACAATCCGAAGTTCAAGTCGCTCCCCCTAACCTCAGTCCGCCTGATTTCCTCCACGAAGGTCTAAAACAGCTAACTGCAATCATGAAAACATACGAAACATCTTTCACGTCTCCCGAGACTCGAGAAGCGGATTTCGAGCCTATTCTCGCTGAAGCTCTCGACCCCTTCATGCAAGGCGGCGAAAATATTGCAAAAGATCTCCCAGCTCCAAGGAGCACAATCTTCACAATCAATTGTCTCCTATCCGCCCGAGCAACTTTGGCTCCCTTCGACTTCACTATCTCCCGCGTTTCAGAAATCAAAGATACGATCGAAGAACACGCTGCCACTCTCATAGATCACCAATACACATTTTTCCTGGAAAAATCTGCTCTTCAGCCTCTGCTACAAGCCATATCTTCAATAACGGATATTCGAGACCACCCAGTATTTCAACCTGCATCTTTAATACAAGCCTCCCAAACCTTGGATGATTTCCTCCCTTCAGCGTTGATGGATGCAATGGAAAATCTCAAGGATCTACAGAACAGCATCTTGGTGCGTCAAATTACCGAAGAGGCGGCTGAAAGATTCTGCGATGATTTTGAGAAGGTCGAAGAGCGTCTGATAAAAGCTGATGAAGAATTGGAAGAGAGTTTAGATGAAGAGGACGGAGAAAGAGAACCTTTGAGAATGTTGTATCCGAGAACTGGAGGGGAAATCAGGGTTTTGTTGTCGTAAGGTTTGGTTTGGAGTTATTCATTAATTGGAGATTTTGTAGAAAATCAAATAGACATTCATATTTCGCCCACTGTACACTTTGCTCTTGGATGTACTTCCCGTGTAACACCTTATGTTCCGGTTTATATGATATTCTAAGTGGAGTCATCACCGGCAAACGTTCATTGCTTTGCGCGTTTCTACTGATTTATGTTATTCTCCATTATTATCTTCCATTATTATCTTCCATTACATTTCTGTCCCATAAAAAGCGTCATTATTCCTAAATAACAAAATCCCACAAAGCACGACAGAAGCAGCGGCTTTTCAATTCAGTCCCATCCATCTGATTGTGTGCATTAATTATATAAATCCATCCCTCAGCAAACACGTTTATAGAAGCCGCCATTCAAAATTCTCTTGCACCATAACTCCTTTTTCGTTTCGTCCCTTCGCAAGATTCAAAAGATGCCTTCGCTGCTTTCCTGTGGGAGGTAGAGAGTGGCGGTTGCGGGTAGTAATACGAGTAGAACCCGAAGTAGCTGCAGAGTGGACGATTTATCAAGCTGAGAACTGGTGTTGATCCAAAGTGTAATTCCATACAACAATAAAATTTGAGACAATGAAAACCGAAGAAAAATAATAGCGAGATTGTAAAGAAGATTTTTCGATTTGCTCTTGGTGCCCAAACGCTAGGGATACTGGTATATCTCAGTTTCGAGGTAAATGGCTCGGAAGTTTTGGTCGTACCAAGTGGCTTCATTGTCGCAATGAAAGGAATAGGTTGGAGACTCTTATTGACGTTGATAGAGAAAGACTATTGCAGTTTAACATTCTTGGATAGACAACAGTGTGCAGATTCACAATCGCTACAGATTTGATACACCAATTCCCGCTGTTTTTGAGCCCTTATTTCACCGGCCATTGCAAGTCCTTCGCAAAACGTGTTCTCGCGAATCATCCTTTGTATAGGAGCAATGATAATTCGTCTTCTTTCTTCCGCCAACGCAAACGAATCGCTGTTGTCTCTTAATATCCCCTCAATCCACCATTCCAACTCTGTGCGCTTATTTTCGGTGGTCCTTTCGTATTCAATCCTTCCGCAGTAGCAACGAATGTGTTTGCCGGTCCAGCCCAGTGTTGCCACATTCCAGGAAGTCCATATACCATATTGAAAATTGAAGCGACCAAGCAGAACTAGAATGCAGACGAAATATATAACATGGTGTATCTTTCCAAGCGTCAAGTACCCGAGGAAATGGTCCCAGCTTCTAATTTCAGGACGCAAAACACGAACGATCAGGAAAGATGTCACCATCCACACCAGGAACAAATAGAGGTGTTCGCGAAGAGATGATAAACTTGGGATTCCTTGTCGCGAACCAGACAGAAAAATTGCGAAGCGTTCTTTTTGGAGTTGGATTTCCCTCTTTCTTTGTTCCGCCGTCCATGATTTCCTAGGAAATCCGAAAGGGAAGTTTGGACTTCTACTTTCATCATAGGATTCGAGAAGCAATAGAACCTGAGAAAGCTTTTCGGGTGGAGAGAAGTTTTTGGATAGGATAGTATCTTGACAACGAATTATTCCCTTCCTATCATTTTCACCACTGCAGCTATTGCCGATGGCGACAGGGATCCAGGTAAGCATCACGATAAACATCCAGTAAACATCCCAGTCACTGACAAAAAGGCTGTGTCTTTGGAGGAACCAGCATGCGAATGTGGTAAGACAGAAAACCGGCAAGAATCGGTAGACTATAAATGCAAGAGCGTTTGGGACACGAGGAAACTTATCCTCAGGTTCGATTGCAGGGAGCTTCATGTGTGCGATCGTGATGCGAACTTAAAAGAAGAGCAGGATTTGTTTCCAAGAAAAAGAAAGAAAAAGAAAAGGTATGTCGAATGCTTTCCTCGGTGTGTGGGGGAGTTGTCCTTTATACTTGATCGTCAATTTACCCGAGGAGCTAGGTTTAGTGCCACGTCTAGTCTCTCCACAACCCTAATCGTGCTCCGGTAGGCCTCCGATAATTCACATCCATTGTATCTGTACCATTTCCTACACAAAATCATGCTCCTCGTTCCTCCTCCTACTTGTGCTCTGATTTGAATGTTCTGAGATCAAGTCTGATGCAGTTCTGCTGGACTGTGAATCAGATCCGAAAGTTTGGAATGTTTTCAAAGTTTCAGATCTTCCGAATGTTGAATGGGATTCACGACATTGAGCAGTTTCGATTCAAGAATGACACGAGGTTCTTCCTTGACTTCCAGTGAAGACAGTGCACAAACAAATGTTCTCCTTTCTCAGCGATTCGACGATGATGGTGATGATGATTGCGATACGATGATACGATATTCGGTATATTGTAGTTGATTTGTTGGTTTGTTGGTTTGTTGAGTTTTGTTAGCTTCTTCGAGGTCGGTTTGGATTTGAATTTGAATTTGAATTGATCCGTTCTCGAATACTGACGCCCAAGGCCACGCGAAGGCCAAACTCTTCTTGGGCTACTCGTGCCCGGTCGGTCCACCCCAAACACCCACAGCAGTTCGGAAGAAACCCTACTAATACTGTGGGACTGGTTAGAAACCTTCCAGACGACGAGCGAATTAAGAATATTTTATCGTCGTTCTTCGGTTTCATCCTCTTCACCCCCTTCCCATCTCTTCACCAATCATGGTGATCCGGTTGATGGTTTTCTCGAACGCCTCTTCCCCTTATCTCCCCGAATTCGAATGCTCGTTATGCGAGGCCACGCCTCCAATCGGCACAAATCATACAATAGTAAAATGATGGGCAAACCAATACTCAGGCAGCCCAGCGAAAAGGCGAAGGTATTTCCACTCGTCCATCCACTTTTTTTGACGGCGCATGCCGTACTGGCTATCGCCAAACTATCGTTGAGCAATCCCATCACGAGAGTCCCGTAGGACCAAGTTTTACTCTCAAAACTCCAACATTCAGAAACCCAAAAAACTGCTTGAAGAAAGGTCCCATTGACCAGAAATGCCAAATCGGCGGACATTAATCCGTCCACCGTAGGCGTCGAGTGGTGGACAAAGAGGACTACATTCAGTCCAACCAGACAAACCGCTATGCTGAATTGCACAGCAGCCAACCAATCTTCTTCACAGTAATGCCCATAAAAAAAAGTGACGCCCAGGGCGACGCCGACGGCGATGATGATATCAATCGCCACATGCATTGTTGTTGTTGTTGCTGTTGTTACTATTGTTGTTGTTGGTGGTGGTGGTGGTGCTGGTGCTGGTGCTGGTGTTCCTGGTGGTTCTGGTGATTCTCGAGTGAAGTCGAAGCAGCATATTATCCAGATATTATCCAGCAACAGTCTAATTTCTTTCCTTCATTGCTCCTCCTGTATCCAGATAACTGTACGCATTTGTGTGTAGCAATCACGGTCATTGTTCCTTCCCCTTTTGCATTGATGCTTAGCGAGAACCACTCAATTTTGAATTTCGCATCGATTCTGTACATTAACTTGGACCGGGACATTGAAATGATTTGATACATTCAAATAATTCAAATTACCCAAACGCTTTTATTCATTCAAGACGTTTCATAAATCCAAATTACTTTATGGGTTTAATATTCATATCACTTGAATCTTTCATATTATTTCATAAACTCAAAATATCTCATACATTCAAAACATCTCATATCTTTGAATACTTCCATTTATCAAAATTCTTTTATTTACTAAAACAAGTTCGCGAATTTGAACGATTTTATACACTCAAATCCTCTAGTATATTCAAATTATTCTTTCTATACAACCAAAATATTTCAGATATTCAAACAATCCTCTTGATTCAAATTGTTTCGTACATTCAAACTATCTAATATATTCAACTCATGTAACAACTTCATTTATCCAAACAACTTCATAAATCTAATCTTTTTCAAATAATCAGAACCCTATATATCAAAATCATTCCATCCCCTTAAATTATTTCATATATTCAAATCAATTCATACATTCAAATCTTCAAAAACAGTTATACCATCTTAAATACTCACTACCTTCACTATAATTAAAACATCATATACATCTAATCTATTTAGAAAAACAACTTCATTATAAAGAAAGAAGCGAATACTCATATCCTTCCTATTACAAAAAATGTTTCAAATTATATCATACGACCAGAGAAACTTATCATCACATGTAGTAATATACTACACTGACAGAACACACTAACGCATTCTTTCAGAGCCCATCTCATCAAATCAGGAAACACAAACCATTCTTTTCATCTCTTCTCTTTCTTCTCTTTACTTCGCCCTTCCCCTTTACTCGCTAGGAAAGAGCAAACATCCCCATCCCCCAGTATCAAGTGAGTATTGTCTGAGACTAACACGAGATCATCTGACCTAGTATCTAGCCATATACCACATACACCCTTCACAAACACCTTGTCGTATCTAATAATAGCGTACCCGCAAGCTCTGCGATGTAATAAGAGATGGAGGATATAGAGATGAGTTGATTGATAAATAATATCTCTCTCCAACTTCACTCTCAACCAATACCAGTACCAATACCAAACTAACCCAAACCAAACCTCAAAACCCCTCATCCCAAACTCCCATTTGCAACTTCAACTCCCCAACCAAAACTCCCTCACCTCAATATCATCTCTTCAAACCCTTTTCATCCTGAAATCTACACACTCTTCTCTCACCACCCCCTCCTTCCACCTCCTTCCACCTCCTACTCCTCCCTACCCCCGAACTTCCAAAAGATTCCCAGAATCAAATATCTTCGCTTACAGTCCCAATTCCAATTGCGATTAAACTTCACTCACCCATTATATCGTGTTATCATTTCCTATCACCTTCCACTACCACCTTTTAATATAACTAACTCACTAACTCACTAACTCACTAACTCACTCCCTCACTCCCTCTCCATCTCTCTCTTTCTCTTTCATTCTGTTGGTTCGAGAAGGATACGGAAGACGTAGCACCCACGTATTGTAGGTCCTGTATGTCTAATTGTATTCTATCTAAAGAGCTAGCTATGTAGGAAAGTAGTAGGCCTTATATAGGCACTACTGAAAGAGCTAGTCTCTTTCGCATTCGCTTAATCCCTTTGATACAGTAGCCATTGTATTGAAGTCATTCCTTTGAAGTGAATACCCTTGTTCACACACATTCCTCCATAATTCACTCTCCATTTCTCCTTTCTCCTTACCCAAATAAACATCCCCATCTCCCCATCTCTCTCCGTCTCTCCATCTCTCCATCTCTCACCATCCCATCTCCTAATCCAAAAATTTCAACCCCAACAGACTCTAAAAATCATACCGCAGTTCAAAATTCGAAAGGTAGAACGAAAATCAAGACACCTAAAGAAGGAGAATAAGACAACATAAGACAAGACAAGACAACACACCACAACACAATCCAAGATCAATATATCCGACGAACAAAATACCCAGCTAACAGCAAAGCGAACATGAGCACAGCACGAGAACAGAAGTGATGAACATATTATTGGTTTACTTGTGGTTTGGAAAGTTCCTGATTGATTTCAAGATAGTGCTTTTGGTGAGTTAGACTGTAGATGTTTGATGCGGAGTGTAGATGCAGACAAGATTTTTAGGCGATTATGAGGTTTCTGTTATTTAGTCTATCCATGCTATATACATGTCACATTCGAAGTGTATATCGTAATATTCGGGTTCATCTATATATCAAGTTCACCCTCACATCCACTCATTACATATGTACGAATAGACGTCAATCTCTTTCCCCAAGCTTAAAAACAAAGTCAAATATTAGTACATTCATTCAACCAATCTATATCCCTATATAAGTATTCTAGTCTTTCCACATTTCATCTCTTTATTCATCCATCTATCTTCCAACCTCATCACTCCACTGCCCTTTAATTCTTTCCCCCATCAACATTTCCCTTACATTCATCCTCGCACTCCAAACCACATTTTCCGTAACCCCCTTTTCTCTCACATCCTCCTTCGTACTTCCCACCTTTTGAATATCCGAATCTCCACCCACCCAACCTCTGGCTTTGTGATGTTGAAAGAGCCCCGGCGTAACACTTACACATCTCATTCCCAATCTCTTCGGATCCCGTCCCCATCTACACAGTCCTGCTAATGCATTGTCAAACGGTCCTGCTAATTTATCAACACTTAAGTCCCATAGCACTTTTCTCGCGCCTTGTTGACTCAGCGCATATGCGAAGGTACAGATAGGACCTCCACTGATGTGAACCCATCGTGTGTAGGGGTTTTGTGTGGCATTTTGGAATCCTTTGAAATGCATCGGCGGTGGGACAGTAGGATCGGAGGTTATGATGTATTTGCGGGAGAGATGTGCGATTTCAGGAGAGGAGGGAGAAAGCGACTTGTATTCATCGAGAGTTTCGGGGAATACTTCGCCGCAATGACCAAGCCAAAGTAAATCCCAGTCATCGCCATAGGGAGAAACAAGATTTGAGGGTGTATTAGAGGAATATTGAATAAATTTGGAACCGGCCGCGAAGGTAAGGAGTTGAGATTTTAAACGGGTGTCCCAATCCATGTCATCTTCAAAGATAAGTGCGCTTGTGAGATTTTGTTCGACAATCCTAAATGGACAGAACGCGCGTTAGCTTGCATGCCGATTGAAAAGAAGTAAATATCAATGAAATGAAGACATACCTCCGAACAGCATTCATGTGCCCCCTCCAACTTCCTAAATTTGATTCCCATAACTTCACTCTATCAGCACCATATGGTACAGCTTTATCAGAGACTGCTTCCCCCTTCACTCCATCTACCCATTCGATGTTGAATCCTGTCAAACTACTAATCAACGTGAGAGCATCTCTCTTATCACTTCGTTCCGGTAAGCTCACTGCAAAGATCTTTTGAAAACCAAGTGTGCTGTTTGAAATATCGGAGGATCCATGGACTGTTCCAACTGGTCTATATTTTTGGAGAAGGTCGGACGAATAGTGTGTTAAGTAGGAAGGCGTGGATGTATTGAGGAAGACGATGAAGAGGAGAATACCGATGCAGAGAACAGTGAAGGGAAAAGCGCGAATGTGTATCATAGTGGTAGCCGAAAAAGATCGATTCGGCGAAAAGTAATCAAATGGATTCAAGTGACGATTTGCTGAAGGAGAGAATGCGACGCGCCGGTGAGTCGTAACAACTGAAGGAGGACTTATTCCATGCCCGAGAACAGAATTTGAACAACCCAGTGAAGTGTGAGTTGAAACTTATGATTGAAGCGGAATGAGAAAAAAGTGAGGTGGTGCAATCTCAAGTACTGAATAAACTTCAAACGAGAAGATGCACCTTCCCGTCGTGGTAATCCAAGGTTGAAAGTGGATTTTTAAGACCTTCGAATCACGCATCTTCTGGGAAAAAGAAAGTTCAATAAAGAGGAAAAAGATAAAGCATATTCTCCTTTCGAGACATTGATCTTGTCTACTAAACTTCGTATCATATCTGTTGTGATTCAAAGAAGCGTCTTCCATTTTCTAGGTCCTCAACTTTTGGGGATCGTAGACCTTCGGACTTATCTTGATATCTCAGGATCTCGTCGCAAGTATGCGGGAAGATACATGCTGTACTTTGGTCAATGTAGCACACAGTACCCACATCCATACATTTTAAGTCATGAAGCAATGCGATGTTACATCCTGCACTTGTTTCGTATCGAGTACTTGGTCAATACTTTTGACCTGAGAACTGTGAGTTAAATTATATTGGTTTAACTACCCTACTTGACTTGTCCTACCTCATCTGCGTTACAGAGCATTATCTACAATGTAAGATCACGGCTTGCTTCGAACTTCGCCAGAAATCTGTCTATATTTATCAGCACACATTTTTTTCATGGTATCGAACCTGTCAAAATCCAATTTCAAACCAACCGGATAGCGGCACTGTCAATTTTAATGTTGACCGTTAGCCTTGTTCTGTACCAAAGTCTTTCAAATCATAGTAGATTGGAAAGGGCTTGGTAGAGCAGACAGGTGAAGGTCGTGAGCAATCTTCCTACTATCATCAAGGTATCGGAGGGAGGTACATCACAGTTCTAGTCTCTTCCTCCCTTCCGAGAATCCTATCATCTATCTACTAGGATACAAACATTGCGAACTCTGACACACCATTGGATGGCTACACATAATGCATTGCCATAACAGCGGGTATATGGTAGTGACAGACCTGCTATCCATCTCGAAAGATACTTCACAGCATACATAGCGTGTACACCAGGCCGCAGCCCCCCCTCCCCCCCTAAAATTTCACCACCAACAAAGGGGTGAACGACTCGACAACCTCTTCACGCGCCAACGTGGTGCTTCATTATGGGTCAATCGATTAAATAGAGATGTAGGAGAAGCTTGGCCGAGGAGACTCAAAAGGATATCTACGAGGGAGGTTGGTACCATGGTCAAAGAGGGTGACATCATCGGGAGGACATAGCTTGTAACGATCTCCAAATTGTATACTCGTACCTGACAAGTATTGTTGGAGGTAGTGCTCGCCAAGGTACATAAGCTCCATAGCGAGCCAGAATGCTACATCTGCGAACAAATCACTACCTTCTCAAATATATCGCAGTTTAATGTTTTGCGTGAGCAGCCTGTGCAACCGATACCCATAGTTCTTTTGAAGTAGCATACCTCTGGTTTGACCCTGAGAGAACAGTTGCTCTGTGGCGTTATAAGTAATAACTGCCTAGATTATGTTGGCGGCTTTAGATTTCAAGGGGACATACTGCGAGCCGATTACTTTCTAGATGATTTCCAGAATCATCTTAGTAATCCACTGTTTTCTGTCAGGAGACATGTTCATATCCAATCTCTATTACAACCTGTCGTTAACCTCATGATAAGTAGATGTTCAGCGGAATCAATCGGCTAAAGTTAGACTGCGGTCAATGATCACGAATTGAACCTGGACATTCCAACTTGATAAAGATGGCGACATGGGAGCGGGAATTTACTAGCGTAACGTATTTTACACCTATTTGAGTAAGGTCGACGCGCTGTTGATGCTCGTAATCCTTCCAGGTTCTATACCGGTACCGATAACCCCTGTGAACTAAATATAACCTTGCTTGGATGGAGTCTTTTGTACGAAGAATGAACATTGTCATGGAGAATCAATCTGGGCAAGAACAAGGCAGAATTCGAATCTGTTGGAGGAATCAATTGATACATTGAATGTCGGCTTCTATCAGTGAAATCCTGATCGATTCATCTCTTCTAAAGTGTCATAAAGTGTGTACTCGAGTAGAAAGAATTGAGTCTGATATCTCTCTTGGGGACCGCCGTCCATGCCCCTCTATCGTCGGATATCGTAAGATCGGCAGCGATAGCCCACTCAATGCAACCCTAAATTGATCCTCGTACATACACATTGACGCCAGTTTGCTTTAGGATTTTCCTGGCATGCTGGCATGAATCAATCTTGATGGATACAAGTAGGTACCAACCAACAAACAAACGCGACTACCGGTAGATGTGAAGAATTTCTCAACTTTTTTATATGCTTATGCATGTAATTTTCGAGTCCATCTGAAAGTCAAATTACCCAGGTAAAGAATAATAGATGCGTGGTGTTCAAATGGAATAATCATACCGGTACTCGCAACAACATTAATAAATTCATCTGGAAAATCCGGTCCCCAACATTCGTATCTTACCTACGTCACAGCCTCGAGCCTTATCCGCAAAGGGAAACACATGATTTAAACTTCTACATCGGACATATCAGTTATCGATTGCGAACGACCAGAGACACACGAGACCTCATAATACCAACAACTGTACCATTATTCTTGATGAAATACTCTCTAATACAATTTCGACCAACGACGATATTAATGAACTATCGCAAGAACGAGAAACTTTGTCATGATGCGAAGCAAGCAATCTTCATCGCTGCAAAAGACATACGATGAGTGTTACTTAATATGTTCGACGGCGGTATATTTCGAAGGGCAGGTTAGTAAAGACACGCATCTTCACTCGGAAACATTTGAGGTTGAAAAGAAAGCTAATGACTTTATTTCTATATAGGGTAATGAGGCAGAAGCTTTAAGATCATGGCGGTCGGCTCTCGATCAAATCTATTATCATAATGCATATCGAGTTCCTGCAGGCTATACACCCAAATCAGAAACCGAAAAGGCTTTGAAGGATAGTCTGAGGTCGATGGAAATGCAATGCAAAGAACGTGTCGATTTACTAGAAGCGCTCAAAGCCTCGCGGGAAGAGAAGAACAATGGAGAGAAGACACCACCGGGAGAAACTAGCAGCGGCAGTGGTAGTGGAAGGCTCAAATCCTTTTTGAAGTCTTCACGCGCTTCCTCGGATTCTCAACGCCCTGCTATAACAGGTATGAGTAATACAATCGGGGAGGGTACAATTCCCGCGGTCAATTACGATGGTCTGCCAAAACCTACCCCGCCTCCGTTACCACAACGACCTTCGATGGCCCCAAAAAATAGCTCAGAGATGGCGGTTGTTGGCGGTGGGAGAAGTATGTCAAGTTCCTCGATTGCATTACAAACAGCATCATCGAGGCCGCCAGCTCCAACATCTCATCCATCAGTTCCTGCACCACAACATAAAATGTCAAAAGAATCAAGAAGTCCTAGCCCCGAAAAAGGAGGAAGAACAATGCTTCAAACATTAAGATCTGGTGATTCCAAGAAAACTAAAAGCTCTCGGTCAAACAAAAAGAAAGACGAGAATCCTATAACGAATAAAGCTGCTACCCTGGCATGGAATACAATGGGCAGAAAAGGGAAAGATAAGGATAAACTGGGCCGTTCGCAAGATCCAGAGACTGACAATAGCACAACGAATCTACCTGGTGAGAAGCCCAGCTTTTCGGATCCATTTAAAGGGAAGCAAGTGCCTCCGCATCCAGTCAGATTTGATAGCACAACAAGAACTCTAGTGCCAGATGTACGACCGCCGCGAAAATCTCCACCAGAATTATTGACAGGCTTGAACGATTTGGTCGGAGCTACAGGTCAATCGAACGGTTATCCGTTCCCTCCTACAGATCCAGGTCAACCAGGTGCCGTTGCTGGACATTCTCTCACCACTGCCATCATGAAAGACATGATTGGACTTGATTCTCCACTTATACCGCAACCTGTTGAGCCTAATTTCGGCCACCCATCGTCACAACCACGACCAACCGAAACTTCTGCTACAACGTTCTCACAGCTTAAGAAGGGCCCTCCGCCACCTCCACCCCACTCAAGAACACCAGGTAAATTTGAACCATTAAAATATCCGACTTACCTCCAAGAGTATCCCGATACAATTGCCAAGAAAGGCAACCCAGACAACCTACCGGTACCTCAACGTAGGAGACCAGCTCCTAGAGTAGCTTCGAATGCCGAACTTTCAACTTCATCAAATCGCTTACAAAGAAAACCAGTATCTGCAAACACCTCCTCACCAAGACGTGTAGATGATAGCAAAAAGTCACGAGGGAAGGAACCTAGGCGAGTACACGGAGATGATACTTCGTCTCAGAGCGCGAATGATGATACCAGTAATGAAGAATTGCGAACTCGGCCTAAAAGAAAGCAAAAGCAGGTGGTATCGCCAATACTTGTCGATCCTACAACCCCAACGTCTGAAGAGTCTAATGACTCTGCCACGGATAGGGTCAAGAGTGCATGGGAGGAGAAAGTCAAACATCTCATGAAGAACTTGCCGAAAGGGGTTGATGAAGGGGCCGCTAAACAGATTTTTAATGAGATTGTAGTTCAAGGTGATGAGGTACACTGGGATGATGTTGCTGGGCTGGATGTTGCCAAGAATGCGCTCAAAGAAGCCGTTGTTTATCCATTCCTACGACCAGACCTATTTATGGGCCTTCGCGAACCAGCTCGTGGAATGCTATTGTTTGGTCCCCCGGGTACTGGTAAAACTATGTTAGCAAGAGCGGTCGCCACCGAGTCGAAATCGACTTTCTTCTCCATCTCAGCTAGTAGTTTGACAAGCAAGTTCTTGGGTGAGTCTGAAAAACTTGTCCGAGCATTGTTTTCTCTTGCAAAAGCACTGGCACC